CCGACGGGAGGGGGGTGACGTGAGACACACCAGAGGGGGCCGGACGGGGGGGGCGGGGGGGGGGAGGGGGCAGGGGCCACCAGGGAGGGAGGAACCAGGAACAGGGGGGGAGTAACCGGGGGACCACGGTGGGGAAAGCGGCGGAAGAAGGAGACGGACTCGTCAAAGGTGACGTCGCGAGAGTGAAAGAAACGGTGAGACGGCGGGTGGGTAGAAGTGCCAGTCGGACGCGTCAAGGGGGAAACCGAGGAAGCGCAGGGGAGGGTGCGGGCAGTGAGCTTGTCCGTGCCAGAGGCACGAACGTGAGCAAGGCAGCCCCAGACGTGGAACGCAGACGCGTCACCAGGGGACCCGGTCCACAGAAGGGTCGGCGAAACCTGCGGCCGCTGGGGGTGCGGCCACAGGTTAAGCTGGTGAGCGGCGTAGCGCACGGCGAACGGCCACAGAAAATGGGGTGCACCGGCGTGGATCATGGAGGTGCGAGCCACCTCCATGACCAAACCGATGCGTCGCTCAGCGACCCCATTCTGCTGCGGGGAGTCCGGCAGGGTAAACGTCTGGGTGATGCCCTCCGCACGACAGAAGCGACCAAGGACACCTGAGGCGAACTCGCCACCCCCGGTCGGAGTGGAGGCGCAAGGCAGGGAGACCGCGGTGGAGACGAGCAGAGACAAGCCAGGGGATGAGAACGTCAGGCACGTCGGCCTTCCGCTCCAGGGGAAAGACGGTGGTGTGTAACGTGTGAAGTCGTCGACAAGCACTAGGAAGAAGCGCTCGCGACGCGGCCCATGGACCGGGGCTGGGCCCCAGACGTCCATGTGCAGAGTCTGCAGGGGTGCGGTGGTAGGGGGAAAGAGGAGGAGTGGAGGGGCACGGCGGAGCCGGCCTCGACACAAGGCGTGCACGGTGGGGCGGGGGATGAGGGAAACTCAGGGAACGAACCGGGTAGACCAAGGACGAGACCGTGCTGGGACATGTGACGCAGACGCGGGAGTGCAGGGTGACCAAGGCGGTGGTGCCAAAGGAGAGTCGGATGAGTGAGGGACCGACAGGAGCACGCAGCAGCAACCTGGGTGGACGCAGCTACCTGGGGGGAAGACCCAGCCGGGGACGTCGCGGTGTCAAGTGTGAACAGGCCGGACACCGGGGTCCCGGGGGAAAGTGGTAAGGGGGACACCAGTGGCGGCCTCGGTACAGACAGCATACCGCTCGTGACCAGGGAACGTAGTGGTGACGCCAAGGTCCTGGAGGCAGCCGACACCAACTAGGTTCCTGGAGAACGAGGGGATATGCAGACCGGTGAGCGAACCTGAAGGAACCGCCGGACAGGGAAGGGAGGTGGAACTGCGGGCAACGACGGGACCACCGGAGGGGTCAGCAAGAGTAACTGCAGCGGGAACAGGCAGCGGCGTCAGCGTCGTGGAGTCGCGGAAGAAACACCGGGAGGCGCCAGAGTCCAAGGTGAAGGAAAGCGCAGCAGTCGCGCGGGGCGACAGTGAAGCGGGGGAAGCACCGAGGCTAAGCAAAGCAGGAGATCCTACGCCTGACGCAGCAGGGGAGTCTACGCTAGGCACAGCTACACTAGGCAACACGGGGTAATAAGAGGGAAGCACACTAGAGTCATCGGCATACATCACATGCAAGGCTGCTACAATGGCATCCATGTCCAAGTCAAAAACCCGAATGCTACGCCTAAGCAAGCTGTGCCAGTCCGGGAGGTCGGGCGCCGGGCCAAAGCGCTGGCGGAACAGGTCGTCCAGACGACGAAAACAGCGAGGAGTGGAATGACCGATCTTACCGCAAACGAAGCCGCGGCGAGGACCGGTCTGGATCTGGTACTGACAGGGCCCGCCTCCAGAACCACCACCCGGGCACCACCACGCGCACGACCACCACCAGCTCCAGGCCACCCAGGCGGGAGAGCACTCGCCGGCCTCGTCTGCGGCGGCTGCTGCGGCTGCTGCGGAGGCTGCTGCTGCTGCGGCTGCTGCAACGGTTGAGGCAGCGGGGCAGCTGGACCGGGCAGGGTCCCACGTCCGCACCGGCACCGGACGACCCGCCTCCACCACTACCCCACCCGCACCCCCGCCACCCCCGCCGCTCCCAACCTTGGGGCGGCGGCCCTTCCCCGAGCGGGACTGCACTGCAGCAGCAGTCTCAGCCACAGCGACAGAGCCGTCGGAGAAGGTACACTGAGCGGGGGCACAACCCTGAAAGATAGGGACCGGTACTGTACCGCTCGCCTGGGCTATGGAGCGGTGACGAGTCTCTATGGCAGTCAGGGTGTCAACAAAGTCGGTGAGGGTGAGAGCAGCAGGGTGGATGCTAAGGAACTGGTCGCGGGCGGCGGCAAGGCGGTCAGGGAGGCGGGTGGCAAGGAGGTAGAGGGTAGAGGTCATGGGAGGCTGGTGGACTCTAAGCTGTGCATCAGTGCAGGCAGCGCGCCAGGCCTCATCTATCGAGCGCAGGTGGGCAGCGAGGTCAGAGACAGTGGGGAAGGACGCCAGGTCAGGAAAGAGCAGGGGGAGGATCAGGCGACCCACTGAGGCAGCAGGAGGGGTAGAATAGCGCTTGATGACAGCATCGAGGTAGGCCTGGGCGGTAGTAATGGTTCTAAAGCGAGGGCGCTCAAGGGGGGGAGGGCATTGCTAATGGCGAGCTGAGCAAGGGCATCGCGGGAAAGCCAGACAGAGCGGGCAAGGGCAGCGGCGGCAGTGGACTCGCGCTCAGCGGGCGTGGGATCAGCGGGCAGCACAGCAGGGGGGTCAGGGCAGGGGAGCATACCGTCTAGGTGTGCAGAAAGCGGGTGGCCGTCCTGCCGCTGACCAGTGAGGTGGCGGCGAAGGTCAGCCAACCACGCCTCGAACTCCAGAGGCTGACCCTCAGCATCAAAACGAAGCTCAGCAGCCATGAGGGGCAGTGGAGGACAGTGGAGTGCGGTGTAGTGCTGTGCAGTGCGGTGCAGGGCGGTGCAGTGCGGTCCAGTGCGGTGCAGTGCGATGCAGTGCGGTGCAGTGCGGTCCAGTGCGGTGCAGTGCGGTCAGTGCGGTTCAGTGAGGTGCAATGCGGTGCAAGGCGGGGCAGGAAAGTGCAGGAGGGTGCAAAGTGGTGCGGGGAACGGGGGACAGTACCAGGAAGTATGGAGGGCCGGGGCAGGCGCGACGGGGCGGGCAGGCGCGACGGGGCCGGGCAGGCACGTCGAGCCGGGCAGGCGCGACGGGGCCGGGCAAGCGCGACGGGGCCGGGCGGCGCGACGAGGGCCGGGCGGCTGCGACGGGGCCGGGCGGCTGCGACGGGCCGGGCGGCTGCGACGGGGCCGGGCGGCTGCGACGGGGCCGGGCGGCAGCGACAAGGCCGGGCGGCAGCTACGAGGCCGGGCGGCAGCGACAGGGCCGGGCGGCAGCTACGAGGCCGGGCGCAGCGACAGGGCCGGGCGGCAGCGACGGGGCCGGGCAGGACACCGCAGGGCCGGGCGGGGGCGACGGGGCCGGGCGGGCGCGACGGGGCCGGGCAGGTGCGACAGGGGCCGGGCAGCTGCGACAGGGGCAGGGCGGGCGCCACGGGGCCGAGAGGCTGCGACAGGGCCGAGCTGGGGCGACGGGGCCGAGCAGGGGCGACGGGGCCGAGCAGGGGCGACGGGGCCCAGGAGGGTGGATACGGGGCCCAGGGAGGAGCGCGGCAGGGCCCAGGAGGGGCGCAACAGGCCCAGGAGGGGCGCTACGGGCCCAGGAGGGGCGCAATGGGGGCCCAGGAGGGGCGCGGCGGGGCTCAGGAGGGGCGCAATGGGGGGCCCAGGAGGGGCGCTACGGGCCCAGGAGGGGCACTACGGGCCTAGGAGGGGCGCGACGGGGCCTGGGAGGGGCACGACGGGGCCCAGGAGGGGCGCTACAGGGCCCAGGGAGGGCGCGACGGGTCCCAGTAGGGGCGCTACGGAGCCCAGGAGGGGCGCGACGGGGCCTGGGAGGGGCGTTACGAAGCCCAGGAGGGGCGCTACGAACCCAGGAGGGGCGCGACGAGGCCCAGGAGGGGCGCTACGGGGCGCTACGGGGCCTGTGAGGAGCGCGACGGGGCCCAGGAGGGGCGCTAAGGGGCGCGACGGGGCCCTGGAGGGGCGCTACGGGGCCCAGGAGGGGCGCGAAGGGGCGCGACGGGGCCCTGGAGGGGCGCTACGGGGCCCAGGAGGGGCGCTAGGAGGCGCGACGGGGCCCTGGAGGGGCGCTACAGAGCCCTGGAGGGGCGCGACGGGGGCCTGGAGGGGCGTTACGAAGCCCTGGAAGGGGGGCGCGACGGGGCCTGGAGGGGCGCTACGAGGCCCTGGAAGGGGCGCGACGGGGCTAGGGGGAGGGGTCGCGACTGGGCTCAGGAGGGGCGAGGCGAGGCTAGGAGACGCGACGGGAGGAGCGGAAGCGGCAGGTGGGGGGGGGGGGGGGGGGGGGGGTCGAAACCTACTCGTGATACCATATCAAACCTAGAATTTTAATGATAAGAGAGAGAGAGTACACAAACATATACCTAAATGTTGTACTCTCTAGAAGGTGACCCTATACAGTCTATACAAACATGATAACTACACATGTTTGACAGTCACCATTTCAGGTGCTCTTCCTGTTGTTTCTTGAGCAGCGCCGGTCTCGGATTGCAGTCCTGAAGTGTGTAATCCAGAGTTGCCGGGTTTGGGTGTCTTGGGCGCTGAGTGAGCCCGTAGAGGTCTTCTTGCCTTTGTTGTCCATGACTTGTAATCAATGAAATTTGTTGAGGTGTTGACTGTAGTTAGACGTTGTTGCTGGGAGTTTGGTCTCTGACCAGCTCTCATACCATATTGGGCTGAGAAAAGCCCTTATGATCTTTCCAGAGACAGTCCAGTTGCAAAAAAGGAGACTTGAGTAGTTGCAGCGGAAGTCCTTGAGGTATTTCCAACAGGTTGCTCCGCAACCGAAATATATGTATATATATTATTTATATTAAAAAAAAAAAAAAAAAAAAAAAAAAAAACACCCACACACACAACCTAGAGCAACTCATTGCATGCCTCTGGGCTTATTCCCGTTCTCCCTCCAATCACTCAGAGCCGCTTGAATGGAGCTAAGCTGCTGCTGCCACTTGTTACCATCGCCCTTGTCTGATACGCTAGCAAATCCTGTTCCAACGCGGGGCTCCGTAGCCCGCACCCACTTGGTGCTCACATCCTGCTGCTGGCTGGCGGGTGTTGATTCTAGCAGGTCAATTCCGGCAATGGCATGCGTGTACCGGGAGAACCCAGAAACTACCGCCGTGCGAGCAGCATACCCCCCTCCTCCACCTGCTGCTGCCGCTGCTACTGCCGCTGCATCTTCTGCTGACGCTGCACCTGCTGCTACTGCTGTTGACGCTGCTGCTGCTGCTGGTCTGTATGCACCTTTTGCGAGCCTGGTTCTACACCAGCGGCACCAGCAGCACCAGCACCAGCACCAGCACCAGCACAATCAGCAGAAGCACCAGCAGAAGCTGCCTTCTCAGCCTCAAGCCCGGCATGTTTGCGCCTGCGCAGGTGGCAGGTCATATGCCCGCCCAGAGCCTGTGACGTGGCGAAATTGAGCCCACAGAAGGAGCAAGAGTACCCCTCTGGCCGCACATGCCGCGTTCCAATGGGCGGCAGGCTCATGATTGCCCTGCGCCGAATCTCAATCAGATCCGCATCGAGCGTATCAGACGAATCAAATGAGTTGAAAGAGTCAAACGAGTGCCGGAACTGAATGCTGCTGGATCTCCCACTCCTTGTGCCAGCAGCAGCAGGTAAAGAGGCAGAGTGTGGAAACAACAGACTATCTATGATCTCTCTCTGGCCTCTCTGTATGGAGCTTGGCCTTTCGGGGTTTCTCAAGCCCTCTGTGCGTTGCATCTCCAGCTCTCCTCCCTCCCTATCCACTCTTCCGCTCCCTGCTGCTCCCGCCTGCCTTCGTCCACCCATCAAATCATGGCACTGGCTCTTAACTCCAGCCCTAACTCCCCAGTTCCTCATCACTCCTGCTCCTGGAATCAGTCCATCCATTTTCTCCCCTGCTGCTTGAACAGAGTCTGAGGGTATTTTGGTCAGTGCCATGCGGCGAAGGAGGGTACTTCTGAGGTTCGCCCTGTCGCTCAGCTGACTTCTGTCACTCCCGTTTGTAGCGAATGTCATTTCTGATTCCGTTTGCCCCTGGCTGCCGATTTGGTAACCGCCATTGTTCAAACTGTGACTGTACTCGACGGTGTGACTCAAATGAGGGCGTTTGTTGCAAAACATGGGCTCTGAAAATTGCCGTCCCACATTTGCGATAGCTGCTGCAGTTGAATTGCGCTTGCCGAGTACACTCGGCTCCATAAACGAGCGCGAGCCAGTAACGGGGATTGCCGGCGGAGCCCGAACAGGAGCGGAATGGAAGCTGGTTGTGCGACGAGGAGCAGCCTTAGGGTAACCCGCGATCTCGCTGAAACCAGCTGCGTTACAACCATCGCGAAGTCCCCCAGCTGGCTCTTTCGCTGAGGTCACCCTCATCCCGAAATTCCCAGCACCAAATTTTCCCGCCGAATCTGCACTCGGCTTATCCACTTCGTAGCAGTTCTCTGTGCCACCCATCGTCTCATTGCTACCCATCGCCCAGCTGTTCATGAGCAATTTCGGGGATTCGAGGAAGCCAGCAGAATCCGCAATTCGCCGCCCGAAATCCGAACCGGCCGCCGCCATGGAATTAGGGTTTCCGAACTGAGCTGTCGCTTGCGAATCGGATTTCCAGGACATCGATATGATTTCCGGCCGGCGCCCGTTCGAAATGGCTGCGTTTCGAAAGTCACAGCTTCCGCCGCTCATTCCGCCGCCGCTTACCCCGCTGTTCCCCACCCACGTTCCGCGACTGCCCTGTCCGGCGAAAATCGCGAAGTCCTTCCAGCTCCGCTTCTTCTGCGTTTGAGAAAACTGCTGTTCTTCCGCAGCCGTCGCAGCAGTTACCACCTGAGATTCCGACGGTGTCGTCGCCAAAACGACGCTGCGTGGCTCGGGGCCGTCTAAACCGCCGTCCGCCAACGCCTCGAACACCCCCACCGCCGACCGAGGCTCTGTCAACGCGCCAGGCCGTCGCAATCCCTGGTAAGCTGCGTCGGTAGCTGAGGCAGTGGCGGCTGCATCCGCGATAAGAGTGGCGTCCGCGCAAAATTTGGACGAGTCGTCTTCCTCGTGTTCCGGCGGTTCGTTCAGGTCCAAAAACGACGCCATGCCCGCAGCAGCGCTGCCGGCCCCGCCGCCTCCCGACGGAGCCGAAACGTGCTGAGCGTATTGCACTGACGCCGAGCTCGCTGGAGAGTTTTCCGCCGCGAGATCCCTTGTAATGCCCCGTGCCTCGCTTTCCCACCCCGTATCCTCCGCGCAATCCCTCCGACGACCTCCGGGGGTCCGCTCAGCCTGACCTCCGAGCGGAGTCCGCTCCACGACCCTCCAGCGCTGCTCCGCGCTCTCTTCCGCCCCGTTTCTGCTTCCGCCAGCGCCGACGCCTCCACCCGGGAAGGCCCCGCTCGTTCTGAGCTCCGCGCCTCCCTCGCCTGCTCCGCCTGCTCCGCCTGCTCCGCCTGCTCCGCCAACTTCGAGTCGAGGCTGCGCCAAACGCTCCTCGTGCAGCTGCGCGAATTTTTGCCGCATTGCCTCGTTTAGCGGGAGCAGCGGGAGTGTTACTGGGAGACGGCCGACTCGTTAGTAACCGATCCTCTGTGGCGCGTGTGGAATCGCCGCCTGGTAAATGCTTCGTCGGTCCCTGTATGTTCTCGCGATGCCAACCGTTCCATTCTGAAGCTCGCTCGTTTCCAGCTGCTGATGGCGCCGTATTTCGAAAGGCTTCAAGAGCTTCTAGACCGGTACTTCTGTAAGTAGCTGTGTGCCATGGAGTCGCCATCCTAAACGTTGGTCGTGAAGTTCTAAACACTACTCGCGAATTCGTGGTTATTTGTCACAAAAACTCCTTTTGATGTTGACCTGAGCATTCCACCAGCACAAGTGGCTTGAGGAGGACAACTTCGCTACTTCGGAACCACACTCAGGGCGCGGTGCTTTAGCAGGTTATAGGATTTGGTCGAACATAATACTGCGAGGCTTCGCGACCCTCGCCCCTACAATACTTGTGTTCGCAAATATTTCGCGAGGAATAACTGTACGAGGCTTATAATCCCCAGAAAGTTCGATAATCCTCCTGAGCCGAACGCAACGAACCGCGGCCTAATTGGATACTATTCCGAATCCGTTAGTGAAACTGCACCACTCGTAACATAACAGAAGTTGCTGCTCTACCGGTCTGCACTTAATTATGCATCTCGTTGGCAGATGGAGTCCTCTTGAGAAGGGAAAGCCTTTTACTGGAAGTAGTTCGCTGCCGCAAAGCTGCGAAGCTGGTGAGAAGGGTAGTGGTGGTGGTTATACTTTACGAGGGAGAAATAAAAGGATAAACAGGCAGTATGGCGAAACTCTCAAATACGTTGGAGTACTGAGCTGCAACTCTCGAGGTCGAAGTCCTTCCCAATTTCACAGCGCCTCTATTACTGATGTAAGCACCACCTGTGCCGTCCACACACTTTCTTTAGGGAAAAATTCCAGTGAGCAAAACAGCACTTGGGATCAAAAGGTATTCACTTCCCACAAGCAAACACCAACTGGAAGATTGGGTTGGATGTGGTCATACGCTCAAGACGGAAGTGAGTGTGGTAGCTGCCATGCTGTCAGCAGCAGCCCCGTTCTGCCGTGTTAGCAAAACTGTAGAGTACAGTGTTACCGATTTTGAAGGCCAGGTTCTGCGGAAGGAATGCCAAAAGTAAAATGGTGGGGTCGTGGTGGGGTGGGGTGGGGTGGGTTGGGGTGGGGTGGGTTGGGTGGGGTGTGAAGCTTGCGAAAATGAGTGGCTGGCTGGCTAGGTCGATTGGTCCCAAATTCGCCACCACACCACACCCAAACACAGCCTGCTTGCCGCACAACCTGTTGGCGAGAGTGTGAGCGTGACAGCTGGGTCATCATCCAATTTGTTGGAGAGGCTGCTGCGCTGGAATCAAAACATTGTGGGTTCAGAAAATCATGGCGAACGTCGGCGTCGAGTTTCCCAGGCAACAAAAGTGGGAAGGGGGAGCAATCCACTCCACAGGCAGTGAAAGGCCAATCCCAAGGCCCTAAACCAGAGCCAACCAATCCGTCCAAAACCACAAAGTGGATCCCTGGATTAATACACCTCTTCCAAGATATGGTCCTCAAACGAACAGTCCAAATTCCAATTCTCGCTGATCTTGTAACCCCTAGGGTCCCAATTGCGATTCTCGCCTGCTCGTGTCCCCCTACGTTCAGTCCCAACAACCAGGTGCCGAGCTGAACCGCACGAACCCCCAAATTCAGCCCGAAATGTTCAACAATTTTCCCAGGAGTTACAGATCGTATTCTACAAATGCAAACTCCAAGAATATAAGAATTTGCACTTAAAACGCGGATCTCGAAACCCTCGAAAGTCAAAAACTTAGGTTTTGACTTGCGGGCCATTTTGGCTGGGGCTCAAAACCTTGGGTTTAGACTTTCGGGGGTTTCGAGATCCGCGCTTTAAAGCGAATAGGCACGTATAGCGCGGGCAAAGTGACACTTATAGTGCTCCGAGGTTGTTGGAGCTCTGCCCATGCATATTGTTCAAGGGCGAAAACCTTGGCGTATGTTGCGATTCCGCTCAATTTGTTTAGTCGCTCAAGAGTCGCAATACGTGTGTGGGCTCAATTGTATCACCACACCCAATTTGGCAATTGTCTCATAAACAGAGAGACTTCATAACCTCGACAAAACAAATACGCAACAATTGAGAGACTCGGACGTATACAAAGTTGAAAACAACAAAGAACAACATAAAATAACTAGAAAAAGCACACCCCATTACGAAACCATATGACACGTCGATGAAGAGAATTACGTCACCGTAGATGGTGCACAACTATTGGCTAACGCGATGCTTCCGAGTCCGCCTGTGCATAGCTGGATTGAGACGGACGGATTGGTCGACATTTTTTACGCAGTGCGATCGCACCTGATCGTCGACCACTCAGGAGCGTATTTACCATAATCCTTATGTTTCTACTAGTGACGTTATGCTGACTGTAACTATTGCTTATTTGTCGTATGGTGTATATGAGTGTTGCACCTAAGGAATAATTTGTAGTAGTAAAATAGTTGTGCTTGTTGTTGACTAATCAAATACAACTTGTACTATGCATTTTCCGAGCTAATGCCACATTTTCCCGTGGTTTGAAATTTATGGGGAACAGGCACGAGCTGTGTTAAAAAAACTTGTCTCTTTTAGCGTGGAACATGTGTTTGGGGGTACTAAGTATACAACGCAAGCTCGAAGGATGTAGGAAATTGCGCGTAACTAATATTGCTATACAACCATGCAAAATTGTTTATATCGTTTCCGATGTTGTGGGAGCTTTGACGTATGCGCACTGTAGAGGGGCAGGGAGCCTGTCTTTCGTGCCGACCATGTCCACGTAGGCACGTCGCCTAGTTTTTGCAATGTATCGCACAGCCAGGTTTCAAATGTCTACATTATCTAAGGCGTTGCAACAAGAATAGCACAACTGTAACTGAACAAAACGTAAGTCGTATCATGTTCGCACAGAAGCAGAGTCGAGTGCTTCCAACAGTACTCGCAGTTGGCAATTTTCTGGGCCATAGTGAAGGCGATCCAACGAAGGGGAACTATCTCCCCGATAGTCTGTGTGCTGTCGAAATTGAAACTTGCTAGTAATAAATACGCCCACCTTGAGGCTTACTGCTTCCGCGTGGCTGACATTGCCAACGTGGCCAGTTTGCAATTCTCCCAGCTTGTCTTATGTTTCACTGGTAATTACGTGGAATCCATTATCTGTGCTCGTAGAGAAACCCGTTTTGCAAGCCCCATACCGCTTAACACGCCAGGTGTTTGTCATACCAATTTTGTAAAGGAGATGCATATATTTTAACGTAATGTTCCCGGAACCTTTGAAATCCGGGATGCGGGTTCGGAAAAATCGAATTATGACTGGTAAAGACAAAATCTAATGAGAGAACCTAGAATCGTCGCACCCGGCGCGTTCCGATTTGCTAGTGTGCAGCGCCAGGGTCAGGTCGTCAACCCTCAACCTCCTGCGATTGATGTGGGTCGTCTACCTCTCCGCGGGCACCATTACTTCCAGAAATGTCGTGCATGGGGCATGCATGTACCCTCGCTGATTGGCTGGTTCCATGTTTTCTTGCGTGCATGGGGTTTGCACCTAAGAAATAATTTGTCCCTGAGAAATATTTGCAGTACAGCGGGTATGCTCTATGCTCCAAATCCGCGACTCGCAAATATGGACTACGACGAATAGGAGTGGTACGTAACTGGCAAAATGGATAATAGACTAGGTGGGGTGGCGTGGGCCGATTTACTCGTTTTGTTCACGATGGGTGCCTTGGCGTATTAGCCACTTGGGCCAGGTTACCAGCGATTTCGCCGCGTGTCATGTGAGGGCTCATGTGGCCTCTTAAAAAATGCTCAGCAAATTTGTCGTCTGGTCAGAAAAACGCGGACAAAAGAAGTAACACCTCATTCTCGACCTTCCCACAAGCAGCGCAGGCTCAAAACGCGCAAAACAAATAATTTGGAAAACCCTTTTCGTGGTATTACAAAAAGGGCTAAACGGAGGGAAATTTTGACGACTTAATTGAGCGGTTTCGTTAACCAACCACGCGTTTTTACGAAAGCGAAAAAAAAAAAAAAAAAAAAAAAAAAAAAAAAAAAAAAAAAACCCTTGAGAAAATCATTTTCGAAATGTGCAGTTGTTAATAGCGATTGAGGGAACGAGGGTCATGTTTTCGTATCCGAGACGGACCTGTTCGTGTCACGCGGGAAGCCTGAATATTTACGTGATTGGTTCTAAAAAATGGAAAACGCCCCGAATGTTAGGGTTGGTTGGCGAAGCTCGCATGCTGAAATTGCACCCGATTTGGGTGGCGCGAGTCGATGGTCGGTGGCATTATGCAACTTTCGTGACTGGTTACTATGTTTATTGCGCCTTTTTAGCGAAGTTTAACAGTATATGTATACCGTACAGACGGAGTACATCGTGGTGGTTCGTATCGAATTCCGGACGTTAGAGTATTATATGGAGTACAATGTCTTGGACCTAATGGCATATCCGCTGTAGTCGTGGTTGCGCTAGTAGAATACGATTTGCAGTTTGTGCTGTTTTTCGCGCCTCAATTTGCCGATAACCAAGCCTACAGTGGCCCGTTCTTCACGTTCCCCGATCGTTCCTTCTCTTCAATCCAGCTCCTGACGTCATAATTTCGCATCAGATTCATACAACTGTAGTGGTCCACTTGCGAGTGGAAATTAATGAAGGGATCAGCACGCGGGTGAAAGCATCCGATAATCTCGGGACTGCCCTCCACAAGAGCCACACATATCGATGCTGGTGATGCGCGTGAGCAGCCCAAACCAACGAGGAGTCAAACTACGCACTGTACACCAGAGTGCTTGTCTGATGTGCTTTCGCAACTACGGTAACAACAAGAATCACAACTTCACTTTCTGTACTCAAGGAAATATTTGCACAATTCGTGAACAGCCTTATGTGCATAATGGATGGTCATGTGTGTACAATGTACCTCAACAATCTCAACACAAGAGGCAACACGGCCGGAGTCAGCTACCAATTCCTACTTGAAACAATGTGAAAGAACAGTATGCTTGCGCTCGAATACGAATAGACCACTCCACCCCGGTCTAGATCCCATTAGCCCATCTTCTAGCAGCCTTCGAAGAAATAGACACCGGTATGGTTGCCTAGCCCTAGGAGACACCACTCCACCCATCTGGTTACCATTGTGCCGCACCAAGGTCAGAGCATCCCCTTACCAACAGCACTCTCACTAGTATGGCTGTACCACACAGCACAAGGACAGACTACTCCACCCCGAACTGGTTCCCACTAGGCCGAACCAGAGTCATCATACCCTTTCTCCCCCGCCCCACCAGCGCTCTTCTTGAGCCGCCTCAAAAGCCAATGACGTGCTACTCCTTCCCGGACTGGTTACCATTAGGCCGCACCAAGGTCATAGCATCATCCCCATTCTCCCCCGTCTCACCCGCACTCTCACTTGCTCCTAGATTCTCCTCCAATTTCCGCTTTCCCAGCGTTCCATTTGTTTCCGTACCGCCCCATGGCTTGACACCACCCTGTGCAGCCGAACCGTGGGGTTTGCTTCCCCCCTCAGAATCAGAATCCGATTCCGAATCTGAATCAGAATCAGATCCACTTGCAGTCTCTCCCTCGCTGTTGTAGTGGTACACCGTAAATTCTGAGTTGTCCCCACTCTTCACCCCTCTCTTCACCCCTCTCGCCTCCCCTCTCTCCTCCCCTCTCTCCTCCCCTCTCTCCTCCCCTCTCTCCTCCCCTCTCTCCTCCCCTCTCTCCTCCCCTCTCTCCTTCCCTCTCTCCGCCCCACTCGCCTCCTCCCCCTTTCCACCCACAGCAGCCCCATTGAGTTTTTCACAGCTGCCTGCTGTTGCCCCTATGGCAGCTGCTTTCGTGCCATCGGCTGCTGTGGCTACTACCGCCCCTGCTGCTGGTGATGCTGCTGGTGGTGGTACTGCTGCTGCAATTTCTGCTGCTGCTGGTGCTACCAGCGCTGCTCCTGCTGCTGGTGCTGGTCTTGCTGCTGGTGCTACTGCTGCTGGTGCTGACGTTGCTGCTACTGCTACTGCTACTCCCACTGCTGGTTTCTTACCTGCAGATTCAACAGCTTCCAAAATCAGCCTTTCATCCTCATCCCCATCCTCCTCTTCCTCCACCCATTCCCCATCCCCCTCTCCCTCTCCCTCTCCCTCCACCTCCAGTGACTCAGATTCTCTTTGCTCCTCTTTCTCCTCCTCCCCACTCAACTCCCTCCCCTCTCCCTCACTCACTCTCACCCCATCCTCCCCCCTCGCAATCTCTCCATCCCTCACCCCTCCCTCCCCCCTCCCCTTCTCCTCTAACAACCCCCCCACCACACTCCTAAATTTCCCTTCAACTTTCCTCACCTCCACTCCCTCCTCCCTCCTCCTCCTCCTCCTCCTGCTCTCCTCCTCCCCTCCCTCCTCCCCCTCGCTCTCGGTATCCCCTGAATGCCCTGCAAACGCTTCAGGTAGTTCCTCAGGTGCAGCCTCTGTTTCAACCACCTGAACAGGTGTTCCTGCAGGGTAGGCGTCCAGGATAATATCGAGATCCGATCCCTGGATCTCCCCCTTCGCCATTAGCACCTGAAGCGTGACAGTAGAGGGCGTGAAAATAATTGAGGGGGAAACAGGAATCAGAGTGAAGCACATTGGATCCCTCCCTTCGACAAAAGAATATCATTGAATCAGAGTGTGACAATGGGTAGAGATAAACGAAAGGGAACAACAATCATTGGAGCAGAGAACCCAACCCAAACGCCAGTGTTCCAAACATATATGCCTGTACAGTATAAGAACAATAATGTAAACATAATAATATACATATATATACCTATATATGCATGTGAATTATACCCCCCCCCCGACACATGTTGACTGCCTTGTGGTCCGCCAGCAGCTGCCACATTGGCCTCTCACCACCATAATCTCTCTCTCCCCCCCCCCCCTCTCTTCCCCCCTTTCTTCACCACCACCATTTCTACCTCCCCCCCCTCTCCTCCTCCCAAAACTCACATTGACTGCCTTGACCAGCGCAGCATTGTGGTCCGCCAGCAGCTGCCCCTTCCCCGAGAACCCCTCCCCCCCCCCCCAATTGACTCACGTTGACCGTCTTGACCAGAGCCGCCTTGTGGTCCACCAGCAGCTGCCACGTGGCAGCGTACGCTTCGTCCAGCAGGGCCTGCGCCATGTCAGCTGCCACGTCATCAGCATGATCGCTGATTTTCGCCCCCGTGAACCCGTAGTCAGAGTAAAGGCTCCCCTCGAACGCCAGGGAGGGGCCGCTTGCAGTGTTGCGCCGCTTCCAGGCCGGGGGGATGCCCCTAGGGAGAACCTTGCCTGCCATGTGCCAACTGTAGGAAGGGGTGTGTTATGGGGTGCGGGATGGGGGTTATGGGGGTTATGGGTTAGGGGTTGAAGGGTTAGGGGTTGAAGGGTTAGGGGTTGAAGGGATAGGGGTTGAAGGGTTAGGGGTTGAAGGTCCCGAACGCCAGAGATGAGCCGCTGGCAGTGTTGCGCCGCTTCCAGGCAGGGGGGATGCCCCTCGGGAGAACCTTGCCTGCCATGTGCCAACTGTGGGGGGGTTATGGGATACAGGGTCAAGGGCAAGGGGCTAAAGGACTGATCTTCCCCCCTGTGAACCCGTAGTCGACGTACAGACTGCCCTCAAACGCCAGGGAGGGGCCGCTGGCAGTGTTGCATCACTTCCAAGCCCAGGGGAATTCCTCTGGGGAGAACCTTGCCTGCCATGTGCCAACTGCAGGAAGGGGTGTCACAAGGGAGACAAAGGAGTCCTGCCCAGAACTCACATGGAGACAAAGGAGTCCCGCCCAGAACTCACATGGAGACAAAGGAGTACAGCCCAGAACTCACAGGGAGACAAAGGAGTCCTGCCCAGAACTCACATGGAGACAAAGGAGTCCCACCCAGAACTCACATGGAGACAAATGAGTACCGCCCAGAACTCACATAAAAACAAAGGAGCACCGCCAGGAACTCACATGGAGACAAACTTGTAGGCCATCCAGGAAGCATCCGCCACGTGGCGCTGACTGTACGTGCTGCTGTCCCGTCCCCACACTACTTCCTCTGCCACCCTGCCGCCCAGTAAGACCTGTTGTTGTGTGCATTGAGTAGAATGGAGAAGCAAGGAGGAGAGAAAAGGGCTATTTGGCATGGGGGTTTGAGCAGTGAGTGTACGTGGTGCTGTCCTGCCCCATACTACCTGCCTCCAAACAGCACCTGCAGGTGCAGGGGGGCAGGGGGGCAGGGGGGCATTCGTCCATTTTTCCAGGACAATTTAATTTGGAAAAATGGACGAATGCCCCCCTGCCCCACTGCCCCCCAGTGACACAGATGCCGAGGCCCTTATAGAAGCTATTTACAGAGGCATACACAAACAGCAGCTCCCAAGGAAAGGGGAAAGACGACACAGCAAGCAACAGTACCTGCAGTTCCCCTGGCCCCCTGCCGCCCTGCCGCCCTGCCACCCTGCCCCCCCGCCCCCCAGTAACACAGATGCCAAGGCCCTTGTAGAACCTATTTACAGAGTCAACTCAGAAGTACCATGTGACATTGTATCGAGCTAGCTCTTGAGTAGACTAAACATCCCTGCCCCCCTGGCCCCCTGCACCCCTTCCCCCCCAGTGACACAGATGCCAAGGCCCTTATAGAGCCTATTTACAGAGGCATACACAAACAGCTGTTCCCAGTGAAAAGGAAAACACGACACGGCAGGCGGACAATCCAGCAAGCAACAGTACCTGCAGCCGGTCCAGCAAGCAACAGTACCTGCAGCCGGTCCAGCAAGCAGCAGTACCTGCAGCCGGTGCAGCAGAGTTCGCCTCTTCTCAAAGAGGTATGACTCATCATCAATACGGTTGAATACGGTCCAAGAAGGGGTCTGGAGGGGGCAATGTGTAGGGAGAGGGAGAAGGGAGAGAGTGAAGCTATAAGTCTCTTCGTCAATGCGGTTGAACACGGTCCATGAGGGGGTCTGGAGGCGGGAAGGGAGCATAGCAGGGGGATAGCATGGGGGGAATGCAGGGGAGAGTATAATGCACATTCTACCATGTGTCTTTCCCTTTCGAGGAGCCTCAAAAATAGACTCCTTATGCATGGGGGTAGCTGATCCAGGGGAGGGAGAATACGCAGCACACTCTACCATGTGATTCCCTCACAAACCCCAAACTGAATGTCAAAACCAGTACAAGCAACCCTGAGTTCTGTTTCTCACCTCCCATTCCTCACAATAAAGGGTCGCTGCGGCGGTTCCACCTGGGCCTCGTCATACTCCATCAGCAGCAGCGCCGTGAGCGCCAGCCCCATCTCATGCACCGCCACTCCCCACCCCCCAAACTCAAACCCTAGACCCCCTGATACTCAAAACCCTGAGACACTCACCTCGCCTCGGGGAACAATGGAGAGTCGCTGTGGCGGCTCCACCTGGGCCTCGTCATACTCCATCAGCAGCAGCGCCGTGAGCGCCAGCCCCACCTCATGCACCGCCATGCGCCGCACCAGCAGCGGCTGCTTGCCCTGCTCCGCGCCCCACCTCTCCCTGGGAGTGCCCAGGGTCAGCCTGTCTGCTGCTGTGTACAGGTCTTCGTCTTCGATCTCCGTCGCCCCTCTCCGCACAGCCACCAGTGCAGCCTCTTGGAGTAGGTTGGCAAGCTGTGCCCCGCTCCAGCCTGGAAAATAGGGGCGTAAGGAGAGGGGTCAAAGGAAACATCAGTATGTGTGTGGTGCGTCCCCTGCTCCGCCCCCCACCTCTCCGTCCCCTGCTGGGAGTACCAAGGGTCAGCCTGTCTGCTGCTGTGTACAGGTCTTCGTCCTCTATCTCTGTTGCTCCCCGCCTCACTGCCACCAGGGCTGCCTCTTGGAGTAGGTTGGCAAGATGTGCCCCCCGCTCCAGCCTGAAAAGGAAAGGGGTCAAAACCGGGTTAGGAAAGTGGTTAAAAACGGGGTTAGGAAAGGATTGAGGGTTAAGAGAACATCCGTCTGCCATCCGCCGCACCAGCAGTGGCTGCTTCCCCTGCTTCCCCTGCTTCCCTGCCTCCCCTGCCTCCCCTGCCTCCCCTGCTCCACCCCCCACCCGTCCCTGGGAGTCTGAGCGTCGTCAGCCTGTTTGGTGACTGCTCCTTGGCATAAGTCACATGGAGAAGCGAGTTTGGGCTTACCTGCAAGATTGGCGGCCATGTATCGAGGTCCACATGAGGGCTCATCTTGACCTTGGAGGGTGAGGGTTTCTGGGTTGAAGGGTGAATTACCTTCTTTGAGTTTGGGCTTACCTGCAAGATTGGCGGCGATGGTATCGAGGTCCACGTGCGGGCTCATCTTGACCTTCTTGGCGTGCACCCGCAGCACTTCTGCTCTGCCCTTGGACCCAGGAGGCACGATGGTGATCTGTTTCACATCGGGCCAGAAAACACGGGGGAATGGTGGTAGTTAGACTTAGACGGTCCACATGCGGGCTCATCTTGACCTTCTTGGCGTGCACCCACAGCACTTCTGCCCTGCCCTTGGACCCAGGAGGCACGAAGGTTATCTGTTTGGCATTGGGCCAATGGCATGGGAAGAAGAAAGTGGCTCGTTAGGCGCACAGAAACCATCATTTTCGCCTTCTTCGCATGCGCCCTCAGCACCTTCCGCTCTGCCCTCAGATATGTATGGCATTGGGCCAATGGCATGGGACGAAGAAAGCAGCTCGTTGACCAAACAGAAACCATCATCCTTCTTGGCGTTGACCCCGCAGCACCCGCAGCACTTCTGCTCTGCCCTTGGACCCAAGGGGCACGATGGTTATCTGTTTGGCATTGGGACAATGGCATTGGTAGAAGAAAGTGGCTCGTTAGGCACATAGAAACAATCGTCTTGACCTTCTTCGCGTGCACCCTTGGCACTTCCGCTCGTCCCACATACTTGGCCTTGGATCCCGGGGGGCACTGGACTCAGGATCAGGAGTGCAGCATCCAGCATGTCCTGGTCCCCTCCCGCCACTGCCTTCCGCTCGTCCCACATGCTTGGCCTTGGATCCCGGGGGGCACTGGACTCAGGATCAGGAGTGCAGCATCCAGCATGTCCTGGCCCCCTCCCGCCACTGCCTGCACTACGCCCTGGTCCTACGCCCTAGTGCACTGGCACTGCCTGCACTACGCCCTGGTCCTACGCCCTAGTGCACTGGCACTGCCTGCACTACGCCACTCCACACCCACATGCTCAGGCTCAGCAGAGCAGTGTCCCGCCCGCATGCCCATGCGGTTGGTGGCTCCGATAAACACTACGCCCTGGTCCACGCCTCTCCACACCCGCATGCACACCCCACCTCCTGTCTCCCGCACCCAGGCCTACCACCCCTCCTCCCTTACTGCTTGCTCCGAGCACAACCCCTACCTTTCTGTCGAATCGCCCCGGCCTCAGCAGGGCAGCATCCAGCATGTCCATGCGGTTGGTTGCCCCGATGAACACCACGCCCTGGCCTGTATCGAACCCGTCGAGCTCGATCAGCAGCTGATTGAGGGTTGTCTCTCGCTCCGTAACACCTGCGTCTGCTCCCTCGTCCCCTCCTGCGGAGGATCGGCTGAAAGAAGGAGGGGGGGAGTGAGAAGGTAGGGGGGAGGAGCGCGATATGAACACCACGCCCTGGCCCTGGCCCACATCGAACCCTTCCAACTTCATCAACAGCTGGCTGGGCCGTTCACAGCTGTTGTCTCTCGCTCCGTTCACAGCTGTTGTCTCTCGCTCTGTTCACAGCTGTTGTCTCTCGCTCCGTTCACAGCTGTTGTCTCTCGCTCTGTTCACAGCTGTTGTCTCTCGCTCCGTTCACAGCTGTTGTCTCTCGCTCTGTTCACAGCTGTTGTCTCTCGCTCCGTCACGCCAGCATGGGCCCCCTCGTCCCCTCCTGCATAGGCATGAAGCACGGCTGAGGGCAGGAGAAATCCTATTTGGTGTTCTATTGAACGGCTGAGGGAAGGAGGGAAGAATGGTGAAGGAAGGAAAGAGGGAGAGAGACACAGAAGGGAAGAGCGGAAATAAGCAAGCATTGTGCGGCGGATCAAAGGCGGCTGAAATTATGCAAGGAATGTCCCATCTCTAGGACAATGAGTCACATGCAAAGAAGGAATTGAGTGATGGAGAAAGGCGGGAAGGGCGACTAGGAGAGCAGCGGGGGGGGAAGGAGGAGGAGAAGGAGAAGGAGAAATTCGAATCTTTCCTTCCACCAGGGAGGAGGGGAACGGAACGGACTCACACAGGGAAGGAAAGGAAGGGTGCGGAGGGGTGGTGTGGGGTGTGGTGGGGTAGGGTGGGGTGGGGTGGGGTGGGGGGAGAGAGGGGGAACAGGAGCGACTTACGCAGCACCAAGGGCATCGATTTCATCGATGAAGACCACAGCCGGCTTGTTGACCTGCGGTGCGGTAGGAGGGGGGGGGAAGAGGGAGTGAAAGGCACAGGGTTTAAGGAACAGGGTTTAAGAGATAGGGGTGAAAGATATGCACACGGCACCAAGGGCATCGATATCCTTGATGAACACCACTGCAGGCTTGTTGACCTGCGGCAGGGGGTGGCAAGGGAGGGAGTGCAAGGCACAGGGTTTAGGAGATCGGGGTTGAAGCTAAGTTGCACTAAACGCGTATGGCGTTTGATACGCGCGCGTACATACGCTAGCGTATACACGCTATACGCTTTTTGGGGGCCACGTATACGCTAGGCATACGCTTGTCCGGGCAGGAAAAAAAACCGTGTATAGGGAGGGGGGGAGGGAGAATGTGGTGCGGGCCATAGTTTTTCATAGCAGCATGAACCAGAGAACATAGTTCAGCCTTTAAGGCATAAATAACCGCCATGTCAAGGTTTTATCCATGTTGACATGGCGCTGCCTAAAAAACGGGGCGACGTGGCGCTCCCTAAGCTAAGATTCTAGCTTAGTCTGCCGCCTGATTCGGCTGGTAAGTTACGCTGCGCAATCTGTTTTAGGTTTAGCGCATTCAGTGGTAGAGGTAGACAGAGCACATTTGACGTTTGGTTGGGTTTGGTAGATGCCTCGGGATGCAGTGCGGTTGGGGGGGCAGATTGGTTGGAAGTTGGATTTGGGCAAAAAATTGGGGTCTCGACACTTCGCGATAGTGTGGCTGGCTTCGCCACATCGCGATGTGGCAATCAAATTTTTTTTTCCGACGGGCTGCCCCCGAAATTTCAGCCGAACGTATAGCGTTTATACGCTCGTATGGCGTATAGCGTTTATACGCTCGTATGGCGTATAGCGTATATACACTATATGCTGCGAATTCTGAGCGTTTAGTGCAACTTAGGGTTGAAGGCATGCACACAGCAGCAAGGGCATCAATCTCATCTATGAAGACCACAGCCGGCTTGTTGACCTGCGGAAGGGGGTTAGGGCATGGGCCATAAGCACGACGACAAGACATTGCCTCGCACATCGATCAGTTCAACACGGAAGGAAATAGGCTGGGAGCGTTTTTCACGTGGAAGGAAAGCCCCTCACCTCAGGTACTTCTTCAGTCATAAAACGGCTGAAAGAAACCAAGTACCTGGAAGCACCCCTGGTCCCAAGGGTTTCAGGGGGTACCCCAAACACAAGCCCTAGACCGCACCTTGGCTCGCTTGAAGAGGTCGCGCACGCGAGCAGCCCCAACTCCCACCAGCACTTCAGCAAACTCAGAGCCTGCCATCTGGTAGAAGGGCACGCCTGCCTCGCCTGCTATGGCCTTAGCCAGGAGTGTCTGGTAGGGGGGGAGACAAAAGCGCCAGGGGCAAAAGGTAAGGCAAAATCAGAGCTGGCCATTTGGTAGAAGGGCAAGCCTGCTTCGCCTGCTACGGCTTTGGCTAGTTATGTCTGATGGAAGGGGGGCGGGGGGGGGGATCGAGTGCTATGGAACAGGATGGATAATGGAGGGAAAGAGGCAAACTCAAAGGCAGTCATCTGGTAGAAAAGCATGCATGATTCCGCAGCTATGGCCAGTTTTGAACGTCTCAAAGCCAGTAAGGTGTGATGTGCAGAGAGGGGAAAGGAAAGGAGGCGTGCTGTGCTGGTGATATTAACATCGGCTGGACAAGAACAGAGCAGGGTGGACGCAATACAAAGCACAACAGAAGGGCTCATCTTGCCACACCCAGGCGGCCCTCCAGCAGCACACCGTGCGTGCAATGGGTTAGCGTGCGTGTGGGGAAAACATGCACATCCGCGAGTTAGAGAGTGTAATGCTCAGGTGAACCCTTGCCACACCATCACCTCACCTTGCCACAACATACCTCACCTTGCCACACCATCACCTCACCTTGCCACACCATCACCTCACCTTGCCACACCATCACCTCACCTTGCCACACCATCACCTCACCTTGCCACACCATCAACTCACCTTGCCACACCATACCTCACCTTGCCACACCATCACCTCACCTTGCCACACCATACCTCACCTTGCCACACCATCACCTCACCTTGCCACATCCTGGGGGACCCTCCAGCAGCACCCCGTGCGGCGGCTTGGTGCCCATGAGGTTGAACCGCTGGGGGTCCTTGAGGTACTCCACTAGCTGAAGGATTATATGCAAGGGGGGGGGGGAGGGGGGGGAGAGGGTGATGAAAAGAGAAAGAGGGCGGTTCGGTGCCCATAAGGTTGACCCGCTGGGGGTCCTTTGAGGTATTCCACTAGCTGTGGGGTTATATGAGGAAGGGGGGGGGGAGGGGGGGGGAGATGGGGGAGGAGAGAGAGGGTGATGAAGAGAGAGAGGGCGGCTTGGCGCCCATAAGGTTGAAGCACTGGGGTTCCTTGAGGTATTCCACTAGCTGAATGGTGGAATTGTGGAGGAAAATGGGGCAAAAATGAAGGAAGGGAAGTGGGAGAGGGGAGGAGATGGTGAAGGGGCGAGGGGGTGGGGCCAGGATGGGCCGCTTGAGGGGAGTAGGGCCTTGTGCTAACGACTGTAAATGATTTGTTTGATCGACTCGAAAAACACCTCGGGATGTGGGAGAGGGGAGGAGACGGTGAAGGAGAGGGAGAGGAGTAGGGCCAGGACGGACCGCTTGAGGAGTACGGCTTTGTGCTAACTTCTCTCCATACCTACCACATCCTACATAAACAGCTTCATAAATGAGCAGGGTTTATATGGCGTACGTAGTGTATTGGCAGATGTAGAGAATATAATGTACTTTGGATGAAGATCCCACGCACCTCCAGCAACCCATGCAGTCTCATCAATGCCCACCAACCACGAACGGACTTATCGATGACGATTATAGTGTACATGGTGTACGTGCTGTATATAGTTACATACATATATATGTGCATTAAAAATGTGAGACACACCCACCTCCTGCAGCTCCTGCACTGTCTCATCGATGCCTGCCACGTCCTCGAATTTCACTCCTGTAGATCCCTGTGAGGGGCGAGCGAAGAAGAGAAGATGAGGTATTTTTAGATGAGGGCGCCTACACCAACAGCAGTGACTTAAGGGATGACACAGAGAGATTTGGTATATCCAGCAGAAGATGCGGTAGATCTAACAGCAGAAAAGGAGCATGTGATGTCAGTGCACAGTTTTTTTTTTTAGGCGCCTCAAAAATCAGAGATTTGGTATATCCAGCAGAAGATGCGGTGGATCTAACAGCAGAAAAGGAGCATGTGATGTCAGTGCACAGGGAAGGTAGCAGCACTAGAGCGGCGACACCACAAGGCAGCAGCACAGCACAGCACAGCACCGCACCGCATCTCACCGCACAGCACAGCACCGCACAGCAACGCAGCACCCTGAAGAGCTCACCTCCACTCGAGCCTGGGGCTTAGACTGGCCGAACTCAATGGCTTGCCAGATGTCCTGAGTTCAGGGTTTAAGGTTCAAGGTTAAGAGGTAAAAAAACTTTGAGAAATCCGAACACAGGATAACGAGCTTGGAGTTCGGGGTATTGTGTGGAGTGTTAATCGGGAAAGCGCGTTTCGGAAGGCTTGAAGAGATGGGAGAAACGACAGTGAAAGACCACTAGAAACTTGGGCTCCTCTCCCTCCCCCCTGTATGCTCCTCCGCTGCAACAAACGGCACCCACACACTTAGTGTAGTCTCTGGTCCGTCTGTTGAGGGTGAAGTTAGCCCCTGCTGCCATGAACAGCACCCACAAACACCATTATTCCCACCGCTCTTTACCACTTCCAACTCCCTGCTATCCCGTCTCCCTCTCCCTCTCCCCTCCGCTCCCCTCCCCCCCCTTTCCCCTCCCCCCCATCACGTACCCACTTAGTGTAGTCTCTGGTCCGTCTGTTGAGGGTGAATTTAGCCCCTGCTGCCATAAACAGCACCACAAACACCATCATCCCAACCGCCTTGGCCGAGCTCTTCAGCTTTCCTATGAAAATATCCCGCGCCACGTCAACCGCCACGTCAGCAATCGCATCCCCGGACGCGTTCGCAGTAGCGCCAGCAATACCTCCCGCTAGTCCCCCGCTGCCAAACAAAGCTGCCAGCTGCAACTGTAGGAATCCGAATAGACTGCTGCTACCTGGAGCAAAGAGACTCGCCCACGTGGCAGTGACAACACCAGCAATCTTATTCGCTACAGCCGCTACAACCCACACAGCAGGCGCTAGGAGAGGCTTCGCCAGGGGCCACAAAACGGATCGGACTATAAAGAGTACGGCAGAGGAGGCCAGGAGGAGGGCGGCAGTGGAAGAGGCGATAAGAGTGGCAAGGAAGGACTGCAGAATCGACGCTAGGATGGAGCATTCCAGGAAGATTCGCCCGGAAATGGTGGAGGCTGCTGGAAGGGGCTTGGCTGATGGCACCTCGACAAAGGTCTGTTTGAAAAATGGGAAGAGGGGCAGGAAGTGAGAGGGGGGACCGGGGGAGGAGGAGGGGTGGGTGGAAGGGGAGGAAGGAGGGGGGGGGGGGAGTGGGAGGGAACAGGGGAATGCAAATTTATTTTCAACTTTTGTTTTGTTATGCCAGCGCGCAGTACTCGCCCATGCTGGCTTTTCATGCCTAGCATGCTGAATTTTGCAATCAGCTCACACAAGCGCTCACGCCACCCCATTACACGAGATGCTTTCTAAGGTTCACTTAAACGAAATACCTGGAAGAGCTCTTACCGAGTACACAGTCTCAACCTCCTTCTGCGGCCCCTTATAGGCTGCCAGCAGCACTGCTGGCACTGACTGCGCAACAGTTCATGATACCAGCATCGGCGGAACTCGCTTTAACGTTCATTATAGTGGGTACATGGGAGAGCTCTTACCGAATACACAGTCTCAACCTCCTTCTGTGGCCCCTTGTAAGCCGCCAGCACTGCTGGTACGGACTGCGAGTCCACCTTGAGCCTCCTACAGGGGGGAAACGACGAATAACGGAGCACAGGGAAGGAGGACAAGGGGGTGGGTGGGGAGGGGAGGGGGGAGAGGTTGGGGAGAGGGGGGGATGGAGAAGGTGGCGCATCTTAGGGGGATTACAAAGCACCAATGGCAGTAGAGCGCATCTGAGGGGGGAGCAAAGCACCAGTAGAGCGCTGCCTGCCAGCACTGCAGACAGGGGCTGAGAGTCCCCCCTCAGCTTCCTGCAGGGGCCAGTGAGGAAGAGAGGGCTCGATGGGTGCAAGCCCACAGCACCCACCAAACCAGTAAACCCCAGCGCATCCCCACCCCACCCCACCCCACCCCACCACTCACCAGGCATTGGTGTGCAGAGCAGGTTCCCCAGGCACCTGCTTCAGCTGCACAAGCACGTCCCAGTGTACTCGAACCTCCCGTCACGCCTCTTCAGCTCATTGTTCAACCCACCCAGTGGACACCAGTGCTCGAACCCAGTGAGCCCCACACTCACCAGTTGTTGGTTTGGAGAGCAGGTTCCCCAGGCACCTCCTTGAGTTCCACCAGCACATCCCAGTAATCGTTTTTTTTTTTTTTTTTTTTTTTTTTTTGGCTTTTAGTGATCCCAGGAGGAACTCCGTTCCTGCAAGACCCTTCCAACATTCCGTGCAAAGGTGCCGAATTGAGTTCGCAACTCACGTGGGTTGGTCATAATAACTCGTACACCTTTGGTTGTAGCGTTGCAGGGTGTCCCCGCCTCGCCCCTATTGCGGAGGGTAGACTATCCCAGTACTCGAACCTCCCATCGCGCCTCTTCAGCCCGCGCGACGTCACCAAAGCCACCTGCTTCTCCTCCTCTTCACTCCCCTCTATGTAAACCCCACACTCACGAACACTGCACTCACCAGGTGTTGGTTTGGAGGGCGGGTTCCCCAGGCACCTCCTTCAGCTGGACCAGCACGTCCCAGTACTCGAACCTCTCATCGCGCCTCTTCATTTAATATCCACAGCACCTGAGAACCCCGCACTCACCAGGTGTTGGTTTGGAGGGCCGGTTCCCCAGGCACCTCCTTGAGTTCCACCAGCACATCCCAGTACTCGAACCTCCCATCGCGCCTCTTCAGCCCGCGCGATGTCACCAGCGCCACCTGCTTCTTCTCCGCAAAACCCAGAAACTCCGCCGCGCTCATGGGCGGGGCGCCCGCCAGCGCGCGCTCAAACGCGGTGGTTTCCACCACCCGCGGAGCGAACGCCTCCTCGGGGACCACGAGCTCGCCCTTGAACTCGCGGAGTAGGTCTTTAAGATACACGGGGTTGGCAGGGGGTGCAGCAGGTGCAGCAGCAGCAGCAGACGAGACAGCTCCAGTGGACATCGACGCTGCATCTGCCGAATCTACTGTATCCGAAGCTTGTTTCCCTCCCCTTCCCTCTGCTGCCAGACTCCCCGTTTCACTCCCTTCCTCTATAATCACACCCTTATCCACCCCTCCTAGAGCCTCTGCCACTTTCCCCAAGACAGCCTCCCTAGCGCTCTCGACCCCCTGCTCTAGTGCGTTCAAGGCTCGGATTGGCGCAGGTACGGCCCGAGCCTCCGCCTCCTTGAGCGACATCAGCTGCCCGTTCACCCGAACCTGCGGCTCCACACGGTTCGGCACCCGCTCCAGTAACTCGGTAACTGGATCCCATTCCTTATCCGCGTCAGCCGCTGCTGACGTGGCCTGGGACCGTTTCTTAGCCGCTTTCGCTTTCTTTGCTGCTCCTGTCGATTTGCCGGGAGAGCCTGATGCCGAGCTGGCAGCTTTCGATTTGCCTGCTTTCCACTGTGACGTGGACCCAGACGCATCCCCCCCTCCCCCAGTTGCACCTGCACCAGAAATCGCCGAAACTACACCCAGAGAACGGGCTCGCCTAAGCCCTCTACCCCTTCCAACGCCTGCTCCTGCTCCTAGTGCTGTGCCCTGGAAGCCTGCTGCCAATCCTGCCAAACCGGTGGCAGGATGTAGCCCCATCCCCCTCCCTAGCTCAATCCTCCCAGGGACCCTTAGACCCTGCGAACCCCACGGGTGGAGGAAGGAGGTGCGAAGGGCACTGGCAGGAGCGGCGGTGGGAGAGGCAGCATTAGGAAGCGTGGGAAGAGAGGGCGAGAACGCCCCGCCACGACCAACAGACTGGAAAGGACCCGGGTAAGGGAAGTGGGGGAAAATGTCGGAGAGTGGCGGACGGGAGGGAAAGAAAAGGCAAGTCGGGAATGACCCGAACGAAGAGACGAGAGTGCAGCGGCACGAACGTTGAGGGACAAGAGAGCAATGATACGAGCGATGAGACAAGAGTGCCATGACACGAACCAAGTGACAGACAAAACACGGGAAGCAGGCGACGTCAGGAAATACGAGAGGATTGGATTCCACAAAAATAATTTTAAAAAGTAGTCACTCTCGAAACGACGCAGCTTGCTTGACTGAAATTTTAGTGGACTTTGAAATCAAAGCGTGCCTGATGCATGAAGAGTGGCTGCCGGCTAACCGGCAGCCGTGCTTGGACGAATGCACGGAGGGACAACGTCCAGGGACGACGCATCCTGATGTTGACACTTGAGTGGACTATGAAGTCAAAGCATACCTGATGCATGACGAGTGGCTGCCGGCTGGAAGACTGCTGTGCTTGGACGTGTGCACGAGCACAGGGGACGCGTCCAGGGACGATGCATCCTGATACAGAGAAGAGAAGATTAGAGAGGAGAGGTGTCGGGAGAATGATTTTGCATGAGTTCTTATGCGAAACCCGCTAAGAGAAAACCAGCACCGCAGCGTGCACACACGATCGCAACACGGCGCTCTTGCACTGAAGAACTCACTTAACGATAAGTCCGAAGGGCCTGATTAACGACAAAGCCCGAAAGGCCTGATCGAAATCAAGCTCGAAACTCAAGATTCCATGTGAAAGAATGCATTTCCGGGGTAAGAAAACTTGCAAATAACATAGGGACCCCGAGCGGCGATCGGCTAAGGAAGTGAGCATACCGCATGGAGTCCGGTGAAGGGACGACAGCGAGGCCTGCATGGTGCCCTTTCTTATAGCAGGTACCGCGACGTTTGAGCAACGAGGGGTCGAAACACCAAGGCCGGAAACCCTAGCTGGTCATTCAGCAACAATGTCAACTCTAGGGACTGGATCCAGAACGACCTGCTAAAGAACGACGTTTAGGTAAAGGTATTATTGATGTGAAAGCAAACTGGCGGCTACCAGCGAGTTCTTAGGATTTGCGGCTATCAGTGGCGACTAGGACGCTCAGCCGCATAGGATTGGCTCAGCGAACCGCAGCATCGACGGATTGGACGATCAGCTGGTACATTCAACGGTCGAGATCTAAACACCGGTCGAAATCGGGGAAGCGGTCGCGACCGCGGATATTGAGAGAGGCAGCGTGTGCACACGAGCTTCTAGAAGAGAGATTCGCGAGCACGGTGCGAGAAATCTTAGACAGGTTTCCCTGATCAGGGTGATGAGTGCACACAGCAGCCTGGGCTACTCTTGTCAACGAGAATCAGACTAACACGTCAAGGACGCACGTCCCATTCATGCAGCGACATCGCATGCACACTGGATGGGTAACGAGGTAATGGGAAGGGTGTCAGAAAAAGGATAAGGATGTCCCTAGCACCTCTAGGAGGCGAAAAGGAATTGCTGATGATACGGAGGAATGGTTTTGAAGTTTCAGGGGAATCACTGCTGGTGTGACCATAGCGAAAGCTACTCGGTACAAGAACAGTCGAGGCACCAGCATAGGTTCTGCTCCTGCATTTATCTAATCATAATTTCCCGCTCTCGAGATTATCAGGATAAATCCTGATCGTCCGTGAGAGCTATCATCTTCAGCCCAGCACAATCCCAACCAACCAGCTATCATCTCCTGCATTCTTCGTCGCCACGTCACGCAGCTGTGCTGGCGAGCCCAGTGATGAGGCGAGCGACCTGATTGGGTGGCTGCTTCTGGCTTGGCCGTGAACTTGGCCATGTCGTTTCGTTTCAATAAGACAACGAGCCAAGTGCTCAACGAACTAGAGAAAATTATTAATTCCTAATCAGGCTCTCTACTAAAAAGCATTCATACATGAACTAATTGCATTTAAAGCGAGCGTACAGACCAAACTCAAGAGTCAAAGGTTTTGAGTCCACCGACGCACGAAAACTAACGCGAAACAAACACGGTAACCAAATACCAGCAGGAGGGGTGCGATTTTGATTTGGGAAGATTCTGATTGGCTATGCGACTCACCACCAACCCAGCGACAGAACAAGGAAGGCCTCTCCCCCCGCCACACCAAGACCCAAAGCTTTTGCTTTTTACTCTGTACTCAGTAGCCATGGCCCTTTCCCCGCCATTCTCGCTCCCTAACACAGCGCTTACCTCCTATTTCGTTATTCACGGGAAAGGTGCGGCTTATTAGTAACGTTTACATGTTCCCGTAACCCTGTGGGCGACAGCTACCTGCCGCATCTCCGTTACTTTATGCGACCATTGAATTCGTACCTAATCGCCCACTTCACTGCATGCCACACTATCATTTTAGGGCGCGCCACGCGAAGACCTTATTAGCAAGCTCTAAGGCAATTCCTCGCCGGTGCACCCAAGTACCTCGCCCGTTGCCTCGCTTCCCACTCCCCGCTCCTCGCAGCAGCTGCGAGAGCGCTGCCCCGCTTTCCCACAATTCCGCATTCCCTGTTTTCCGCCCCGCCCACTGCATCTGCCTGCATTCGCCTCCCCGATTTCCCGCACTCAAGCTGCCACTGCTTTTCCGCTTTCCGCCCAATCCGCTAGCCCGCGTTCCCGCGGTCCCGCTTTCCGCTTTCCCGCGTCCCCGCTTCCCCCCAGCACCCATTTCCCCCTCCCTTTCCCATCCTCGTCGGCCATCCCATGTCTTCCCGTCGCCAATCCCTCCCTTCCTATCCCCACGCCCTTCCCTTTGCGTAGCTCATTGGTCCATTCCCTCACTCAAGCTCTTGCCTTGTCCTCCCGCTCCTCCCCCTGTTATCCCTCCCAACATTCCCACCATATCCCTATATCCCCTGTTATCCTCACACTGCCCTTCTCTCTCTCCCGCGTTCCGCCCATCTCTCTCTCCGCCGCAGCCCACCTCACTCTCCCCCGCTCTGCGCACCTCTCTTCCCCTCCCACTGGCTACCTCTCTTACGCCTACTCCACGTCATAATTCCTCCAACTCCCTTCCCTCGTTACCCTTGCTCTGCCCACCTCTATCCCCCCAGCTCTTCCGAAGGTGGGCTCTGGCGGGGGGGAAGGTGGGCTCTGGTGGCGGGGAGGTGGGTTCTGGTTGGGGGTGAGGTGGGTTCTGGTGGGGGAGAGGTGGGCTCTGGTGGGGGGGGAGGTGGGCTCTGGTTGGGGAGGGGGGGAGGGGGGGGGGGCATTTCGAAGCTGGGGAGGGGGCTCGCCGCCCGCTTTCTCCCTCTCTCCCTCCCATCTCCCTTTCTTTCAGCCCTGGTCGCGATCTATGAACTCCCTCCCTTCCCTTCCCATCCCTCCTTTCTCACACTCTCATCTGCCCATCTCACACTCCCCGTATTCCCTCATTCATCTCACTACCTATTTCTGCCCCCCCCCCCAGCCTCTCTCTGAAGCGGTCCTTGTATTCATGCCCAAACCTGAGTACAGGGCTCGGCTCTTCAGGGGTTTGACAAACCATGCATCCTAACCCTCCTCTGCCCCGCTAGCCTAAGGTACGTCCACTCCCGCTTCCAGGACTACGAAGGAGGGTCTAGGCACTCCTCTCCCATTCACCCGTCTCCCTTGCTCCCCTCTCCCGTTCTCCCCTCTCCTATGCTCCCCTCTCCCGTTCTTCCCTCTCCCATGCTCTCCTCTCCCGTATTCCCCTCTCCCATGCTCCCCTCCCGTACTCCCGTCTCCCTTGCCCTCTCCCTGGGTAGGGGGGATCCGGGCTCTCTTTGGGGGCGGGAGGAGGGCTATGGGAGGGGGGAAAGCAGGGCTATGGGAGGGGGGAAGCAGGGCTATGGGAGGGGGGGAAAGCAGGGCTATGGGAGGTGGGGAAGAAGGGCTTTTGGAGGGGGGGAAGCAGGGCTATGGGAGGGGGGGAAGCAGGGCTATGGGAGGGGGGGAAGCAGGGCTATGGGAGGGGGGAAGCAGGGCTATGGGAGGGGGGTAAGCAGGGCTATGGGAGGTGGAGAAGCAGGGCTATGGGAGGGGGAAAGCAGGGCTATGGGAGAGGGGGAAGTAGGGCTATGGGAGGGGGGGAACGGGGGGTATAGATGGGAGGCATTGGGGCTCACTCCTCTCCCCTCTTCCCCCCCCACACCCATTCTCTCTCTCCCTCTTTCTCTCTCACTCTCTTTCGCGCCTCGCACCCGTTCTCCCCTCCTCCCCGCGCTCCCTCATCGTCCCTCCCTCTCTGTCCCTCCCTCTCTCGCGCGCTCTCTCGCTCGCCCCCTCTCTCTCTTCCTCCATTTCTCCCACTCCACTCTCTCATTCTCTCTCTCTTACTCTCTTGTTCTCCCTTTCCCCCTCACTCTCCATCCACCGCCTGCCCCTTTCATTCTGGATCGTTTATTGCCTTGGACATTCAACCCCCCCCCCCCTCCCCTCTCCCCTACAGCCTGCTCCCATTCTCACCTCCTACTTCCATCCTATAGGTTGCAAGGTGCATGGAAAAGGAGGTGAATAACGCCTAGGCTAGAGGCCCCTGGCTGATCCTAGCTAGACTGTTAGGGGTTTCCTAGGTTGTGTTGCGTTGTGTGTCTTGTTCTTGCCTAAGAAAAAATGGCTCTCGCGACCGCTTGTTTGCTTATGTTTCAAAACCAAACTTTGCACTAAATGGGAACTGGATCCCTGCTATTTTTAAGTCATGTGCTTCATTGTGTAGTTATCGTCTCTAACCTGTGTAAAAGTAGATGCGTTGTGCTAATTTCTTAGTTTTTTTTTTTTTTTTTTTTTTTTTTTTTTTTCATGAGCCTCACCAACACAGCACAGTGCTTTTCTCGGTAAAAGATGTTTACTGTTAATTTCTGTCACAACAGTCCTTTGCGAGTTCGACGGGCAGCGTCTCTCAAAACTAGAATTGAATGATTGATTAGTGAGAGAGAGTACATGCACATATACCTAAATGTTGTACCCTCTAGGAGGTTACCCTATACGGTCTATACAAACATGATAAATAAACATGTTTGACACACCCCCTGGACTGCATAGGGGAATATCCTAGACAAGCATCTCAGGGCGGCACTACTAGTCCAGCCTCTGAGACAAGGGTCTAAAAGACCAGTCAGAGGGAGTACAGACAAGACAAGAACAAGTACAGGCGGCACTACTAGTCCAACCACTGTGAGAGGACACAAGTCCAGTCTGAGTGTACACATATATATAGGACAGTACAAAGTCAAGGCCCGAGTAAGTGAGGGACTACAGGAACCAGACCAAGCTGTACACAGTGCCGCTGATGATCTTTAGGCGCAAGCGCCTTCGTAAAGATATCAGCTTTGTTGGCACCGGAGGCTAAGTGTACTACGCGAGCCTGGCGACGCTGCTGTAGCTCACGCAGGAGGAAGTACCGCAGCTGGATGTGCTTCGCTCTGCCCTCGAGTCGAGGCTCCTGACACAGGAGGATCATGGCCCTGTTGTCAGCGTACAGGACCGGGGCAGAGCTAGGCCGCTCACCTAAGTCAGTGAGCAAGAAGGTCAGCCAGCGGAGCTCCTGTGCCGCCATGGCACCGGCGTAGATCTCGGCCTCACAGCTGGACTGGGCAACAGACGAAGAGCGGGTAGCTCTCCACGAGACAGCACCTGAACCAAGGCTAAAGCAGTAGCCCTGGGAAGACCTGAGCGTCTCGGCGTCGTCTGCCCAAGAAGCGTCTGTGTGTCCAGTAAGGACCACTGGCCTGCGTCCGCCTAGCACTAACCCCATGCCCGATGTACTTGCAAGATAACGCAAAACCCTCTTAGCGGCAGACCAGTGCTGAGGTCGGTGTCTGCCTGTGGCCACGAAACGAGCCAGGATGCTGAGAGGGTATGCGAGATCTGGGCGAGTGCAAGTCATCAGGTACATGAGGCAACCCACTAGCTCAGCGTAAGGACCACTGGGATCTACCGACTCCTCAGGAACTGGAGCGGAGAGTCTGTGGTCCAGAGGAAGAGGGGTGGGCTGTGCGGAGGAGAACTGAAGGCCGAACCTCTGAAGGACCTGGCGCACCAAGTGTGACTGAGTCAGGGTGATGGTGCGCGCGGCTCTGTCCCTGGAGATCTGCAAGCCAAGGTAACGGCGCAGCTCTCCAAGGTCAGTGCAGGTGTGTCTCTTCAGCAGCTCTGCCTTCACGGAGGCCAGTGCGTCCCTGTCAGCAGTGGCAAAGACCAGGTCGTCTACGTAGACGAGGATGTAGAACGGAGTCGAGCCAGCACGAACGAAGAGCGAGGGGTCTGCAGAGGACGGAAAGAACTGCAGGTCAGCAAGGGTAGCACGCAAAGTGTCGTGCCACTCACGAGGCGCCTGGCGCAGGCCGTAGACTGGCCGCCGCAGAAGCCACTGGGTCCCAGGGGGGAAGGTGCCAGTAAAGCCCTGAGGGCGACGCAGGTAGACCTGCTCGTGAAGGCTGCCCTGAAGAAAGGCAGTGGAGAAGTCGAGGGAGTGAAGCTCGTAGTCACGCTGAGCCGCTACGTGTAGCAGCACCCGAAGAGTAGTCATCTTCGGGGTAGGAGCGAAAGTCTGAAAGAAGTCCACCCCCTCGCGCTGACTGAAGCCTCTAGCCACGTAGCGCGCCTTGAACACAGGCGGCTCTCCAGGAGGGCGCTTCACCTTGAAGAGCCAACGGCCATCGACCACGTTCACCCCAGGTGGGGGAACTGCGTCGACGAAGGTGCCGGTGGATCTCCAAGATGCCATCTCCTGCTCCATGGCAGCTATCCACTGAGAGGCCCAGGGTCCCGAAACCGCCTCAGCGTAAGTACGAGGGGTCGGGATGTCGAAAGCGTCTGGGTCACCCTCAGGGACTAGCAGCATGGAACAGAGATGGGGAGCAGCCTCGGACAGGAAAGCAAGCTCAAACTGGCGGTCCTCCAGGACGTCACTGCCGAGGGCAGGAGCACCCCCGACAGACGGAGGACAGGCAGGGTCAGAGACCAGAGCGGTGGCGTAGTCAAGGCGGCGGGTAGAGGCGAAGTCAGCGACCGCAGCGACGAGGGCGTCAAGACTCGACACTGGAACAGACGGGTCGGTAACGAGAGAGGCAAGGACCCGAGGAACAAGAGGACGAGCGGCACGAAAGGAGTCGGACAGAGGAGGAGACGCAACGACAAGAGAAGACGGAGGAGGAGACGGGAGGAGGGGACGAGACGCGTGGGAACGGAGCAACATAGGGTGAGAGCGCGGGACAGGGGAGACAGGACGAGCACGAGGGGCGGCGAGACCAGACGTGGAGGGAGGCGTCGGGTCAGGAGACAGAGGAGGGGACACTGGTGGGGAACGAGGGGGAAAACGAGCCGGGGACGAGTCCGGCGGAGGGAACACGGGGCCGTAGACGGAAGAGGGAGGAGACGGCAGGAGAGGAACAGGCGCAGGGTCAGGGGACGAAAGGCCGAGCAGACGGAGGGGCGGACACCGGCGGGGACTGCTGCTGCGGCGACACAACACCAACACCAGGGCCACAAGCTGCGCGACGGCTACCTCCCGAAACCCTCCACACCGGCACCCCCAGAAGGGACACCCTCAGGGGCCCACAAACAGCGGCAGCGACGACAGGCGGCGGCGGCGGGCGGCGGCGGCGGCTGCAGCGACGGCTGTGACGGCGGCGGCGGCGGAGACGACGGCTGCAGCAGCTGCGGCGACGGCGGCTGCGGAGGCGGTGGGAGGAGGAGACAACCGGGGGAGGGACAGACGGCGAGGACTGCACCGGAGGACTACCAGAGTCAGAAGACTCGTCGACCGGGGACGACCGACGGGAGGGGGGTGACGTGAGACACACCAGAGGGGGCCGGACGGGGGGGCGGGGGGGGGGGAGGGCAGGGACCACCGGGGAAGGAGTGACCAGGAAAAGGGGGGAGTAACCGGGGGACCACGGTGGGGAAAGCGGCGGTAGAAGGAGACGGACTCGTCAAAGGTGACGTCGCGAGAGTGAAAGAAGCGGTGAGACGGCGGGTGGTAGAAGTGCCAGTCGGACGCGTCAAGGGGGAAACCGAGGAAGACGCAGGGGAGGGTGCGGGCAGTGAGCTTGTCCGTGCCAGAGGCACGAACGTGAGCAAGGCAGCCCCAGACGCGGAACGCAGACGCGTCACCAGGGGACCCGGTCCACAGAAGGGTCGGCGAAACCTGCGGCCGCTGGGGGTGCGGCCACAGGTTAAGCTGGTGAGCGGCGTAGCGCACGGCGAACGGCCACAGAAAATGGGGTGCACCGGCGTGGATCATGGAGGTGCGAGCCACCTCCATGACCAAACCGATGCGTCGCTCAGCGACCCCATTCTGCTGCGGGGAGTCCGGCAGGGTAAACGTCTGGGTGATGCCCTCCGCACGACAGAAGCGACCAAGGACACCTGAGGCAAACTCGCCACCCCGGTCGGAGTGAAGGCGCAAGGCAGGGAGACCGCGGTGGACACGAGCAGAGACAAGCCAGGGGATGAGAACGTCAGGCACGTCGGCCTTCCGCTCCAGGGGGAAGACGGTGGTGTAGCGCGTGAAGTCGTCGACAAGCACTAGGAAGAAGCGCTCGCGACGCGGCCCATGGACCGGGGCTGGGCCCCAGACGTCCATGTGCAGAGTCTGCAGTGGTGCGGTGGTAGGGGGAAAAGAGGAGGAGTGAGGGGCACGGCGGAGCCGGCCCTCGACACAAGGCGTGCACGGGGGGCGGGGGAGGAGGGAAACTCGGGGAACGAACCGGGGAGACCAAGGACGAGACCGTGCTGGGACATGTGACGCAGACGGGAGTGCAGGGTGACCAAGGCGGTGGTGCCAAAGGAGAGTCGGGTGAGTGAGGGACCGACAGGAGCACGCGGCAGCAACCTGGGTGGACGCAGCTACCGGGGGGAAGACCCAGCCGGGGGCGCGGTGTCAAGTGTGAACAGGCCGGACACCGGGTCCCGGGGGAAAGTGGTAAGGGGGGCACCAGTGGCGGCCTCGGTACAGACAGCATACCGCTCGTGACCAGGGAACGTAGTGGTGACGCCAAGGTCCTGGAGGCAGCCGACACCAACTAGGTTCCTGGAGAACGAGGGGATATGCAGACCTGTGAGCCCGAAGGAACCGCCGGACAGGGAAGGGAGGTGGAACTGCGGGCAACGACGGGACCACCGGAGGGGTCAGCAAGAGTAACTGCAGCGGGAACAGGCAGCGGCGTCAGCGTCGTGGAGTCGCGGAAGAAACACCGGGAGGCGCCAGAGTCCAAGGTGAAGGAAAGCGCAGCAGTCGCGCGAGGCAGCAGTGAAGCGGTGGAAGCACCAAGGCTAAGCAAAGCAGGAGATCCTACGCCTGACGCAGCAGGGGAGTCTACGCTAGGCACCGCTACACTAGGCAACACGGGGTAATAAGAGGGAAGCACACTAGAGTCATCAGCATACATCACATGCAAGGCCGCTACAATGGCATCCATGTCCAAGTCAAAAATCCTAATGCTACGCCTAAGCAAGCTGTGCCAGTCCGGGAGGTCGGGCGCCGGGCCAAAGCGCTGGCGGAACAGGTCGTCCAGGCGACGAAAACAGCGAGGAGTAGAATGACCGATCTTACCGCAAACGAAGCCGCGGCGAGGACCGGTCTGGATCTGGTACTGACAGGGCCCGCCTCCAGAACCACCACCCGGTGCACCACCACGCGCACGACCACCACCAGCTCCAGGCCACCCAGGTGGGAGAGTACTCGCCTGCCTCGTCTGCGGCGGCTGCTGCGGCTGCTGCGAAGGCTGCGGCTGCGGCGACTGCTGCTGCTGCGGCTGCTGCAACTGTGGAGGCAGCGGGGCAGCTGGACCGGGCAGGGTCCCCACGTCCGCACCGGCACCGGACGACCCGCCTCCACCACTACCCCCACCCGCACCCCCGCCGCCTCCGCCGCTCCCAACCTTGGGGCGGCGGCCCTTCGCCGAGCGGGACTGCACTGCAGCAGCAGTCTCAGCCACAGCGACAGAGCCGTCGGAGAAGGTACACTGAGCGGGGGCACAACCCTGAAAGATAGGGACCGGTACTGTACCGCTCGCCAGGGCTATGGAGCGGTGACGAGTCTCTATGGCAGTCAGGGTGTCAACAAAGTCGGTGAGGGTGAGAGCAGCAGGGTGGATGCTAAGGAACTGGTCGCGGGCGGCGGCAAGGCGGTCAGGTAGGCGGGTGGCAAGGAGGTAGAGGGTAGAGGTCATGGGAGGCTGGTGGACTCTAAGCTGAGCATCAGTGCAGGCAGCGCGCCAGGCCTCATCTATCGAGCGCAGGTGGGCAGCGAGGTCAGAGACAGTGGGGAAAGACGCCAGGTCAGGAAAGAGCAGGGGAAGGATCAGGCGACCCACTGAGGCAGCAGGAGGGGTAGAATAGCGCTTGATGACAGCATCGAGGTAGGCCTGGGCGGTAGGAATGGTTCTAAAGCGAGGGTGCTCAGGGGGGGGAGGGCATTGCTAATGGCGAGCTGAGCAAGGGCATCGCGGGAAAGCCAGACAGAGCGGGCAAGGGCAGCGGCGGGCAGTGGACTCGCGCTCAGCGGGCGTGGGATCAGCGGGCAGCACAGCAGGGGGTCAGGGCAGGGAGCATACCGTCTAGGTGTGCGGAAAGCGGGTGGCCGTCCTGCCGCTGGCCAGTGAGGTGGCGGCGAAGGTCAGCCAACCACGCCTCGAACTCCAGAGGCTGACCCTCAGCATCAAAACGAAGCTCAGCAGCCATCAGGGGCAGTGGAGGACGTTGGAGTGCAGGCAGTGCGGTGCAGTGCGATGCGGGAGTGCAGTGCGGTGCAGTGCGATGCAGTGCGGTGCAGTGCGGTGCAGTGCGGTCCAGTGAGGGGCAATGCGGTGCAAGGCGGAGCAGGGAAGGGGGACAGTACCGGAAGTATGTAGGGCCGGGGCAGGCGCGACGGGACCGGGCAGGCGCGACGGGGCCGGGCGGCGCGACGGGGCGGGGGCGCAACGAGGGGCCAGGCAGACGCGACGGGGCCGGCGGCTGCGACGGGGCCGGGCGGCTGCGACGGGGCCGGGCGGCTGCGACGGGGCCGGGCGGCAGCGACGAGGCCGGACGGCTGCAACAGGGGCCGGGCGGCTGCGACGGGGCCGGGCGGCTGCGACGGGGCCGGGCGGCAGCGACGAGGCCGGGCGGCTGCGACGGGGGCCGGGCGGCTGCGACTGGGGCCGGGCGGGCGCCACGGGGGCCGAGCGGCCGCGACGGGGCCGAGCTGGGGCGACGGGGGCCCCGAGCGGGGCTCGACGGGGCCCAGGAGGGGCACGACAGGCCCTGGGGGGGCGCGACGGGGCCCAGGAGAGGGCACGACGGGGCCCAGGAGGGGCGCGACGGGGCCCAGGGAGGGGCACGACGGGGGCCTGGGAGGGGCGCTACCAAGCCCAGGAGGGGTGCGACAAAGCCCAGGAGGGGCGCTACGAAGCCCTGGAGGGGGGGGGGCGCGACGGGGCCTGGAGGGGCGCTACGGGGCCCAGGAGGGGCGCTACGGGGCCAGGGAGAAGCGCGACGGGGGCCTGGGAGGGGCGCTACCAAGCCCAGGAGGGGCGCGACAAAGCCCAGAAGGGGCGCTACGAAGCCCTGGAGGGGGCGCGACGGGGCCTGGAGGGGCGCTACGAAGCCCTGGAAGGGGCGCGACGGGGCCTGGGAGGAGCGCGACTGGGCCTGGAAGGAGCGCTACGGGGCCTGAAGGGGCGCTACGAAGCCGTGGAAGGGGCGCGACGGGGCCTGGAGGGGCGCTACGAAGCCCTGGAAGGGGCGCGACGGGGCCTGGGAGGAGCGCGACGGGCCTGGAAGGAGCGCTACGGGGCCTGAAGGGGCGCTACGAAGCCCTGGAAGGGGCGCGACGGGGCCTGAGAGGAGAACGACGGGGCTAGGGGGGGGGGGTCGCGACTGGGCTCAGGAGGGGCGAGGCTAGGCTAGGAGACGCGACGATAGGGGCGGAAGCGGTAGGTGGGGGGGGGGGGGGGTCGAAACCTACGCTCTGATACCATCTCAAAACTAGAATTGAATGATTGATTAGTGAGAGAGAGTACATGCACATATACCTAAATGTTGTACCCTCTAGGAGGTTACCCTATACGGTCTATACAAACATGATAAATAAACATGTTTGACAGCGTCGCCCGCTGTACCCTTACGACCTCGCCAGTTTTGGCGAGACCATTTCAGTCGTCGCGAGGCCCCTCGCGTTTCGCGTGGGGGCCCGCCCCATTTTTGCGACACTTGTGCCCTCGCCATTTTCGCTACCCCCAACTCAAGATTCAAAGTCTTTGAATCTTGATTTTGGTCTGTCTGCTCGCTTTAATTCGCCATATGCATATATGGAGGCATGCATGATATTTTACAAATCTCTATAGGGGGAGGGGAGGGGGTGCTAGTACAAAATATCGTTTTCTTCCTGTTAACCACTTTTCAGTAATCACTGGATGGGGTAGAAGCCCCAAAAGAACCTCAAGCCATCTTCAGTAGCATGTATATTCTGTAAGATTGCTTGAAGATGGTGGCTTTACCCATTCTAATTTCAAATATTGGCACATGCAGAACACAACTCATCTCAGCTGTGCCAGCGATGATATAGATGAAGTCAATGTCGAGTAATTTGTCTGGCTCCTATTTTCTGCCAAAATCGCCTGACAGGTTTTCAAGTTCATCTGAGCATTTTCTGACACCACCAGTAAGGGCGTGTGTCCTACGGTTTCGGAACTGAGTTCTGTCCGCGGGCGAAAAAGGCTACAAAATGCAGCACTGCTCGCTTTCATTTTCGCCAGCAGTCTCGCGAAGGATTCACGAATTCCGGAACTCGAGGTTCTACACCTGCCCGGGCGGTCGTCTGGAGGTCTGTTTGAAACTCTCCTGCCAGTTCTGAGCGAAAAGCCAATGCTACTCCCGCGAAAAATAACGAAACATCACGACGATGCCATTACGCCACACGCCATATTGACCATTCGCGGGGCAAGAAACTGGCACTGGCCAAATTTGTCTTGTTTTTCATTGGATGCGAAGTCGTTGTTTTCATCATTTCGCGGGGGGTGGGTTTTGCTTTCGTTCAAACTTCTGAATGTTGGAACTTCGAGAATCGGAACTCGACGTTCCGTCCGCAGACAGATTGCGAATGCGAGTTTAGAAACTCGGGGCTCCGTGCGCAAACGGAACTGGCGTCTAACGGTGACGGAACCCAGTTCCGGTTTTGGGCCCACGAAACCGTAGGCTACACGCCCTAAAGTTGTCACCTTGCATTCCTAGCTCGTCTGTCACCAGACATTTTCACTTACCACCTCTACTATTTCTCTTCCAGGAGCCTCCTACCAGCCACCCTGTGTCCGACCGACGGCCCGTTTCAGATTCCTTTCCTTTCCTTGCTGTCGCGTTTTCTGCCCGATTGTTCGCTCGCTCGGATCCTTTTCCCTCGCCTTGCTGGATTCGTCGTCACTTCACCTGCGCTCTCGCCTCGCCTCGCCACCTCGCCTTCAACTCGTGTAGCATGATGGTAGCTCCTCGCGTGAACTGTCTGGCGCTACGCATTAGCACCCTGGCTGCGCCAGGCGGTCGTTCTTTACTGTCACGGCCGGTATTGTCACGGCTCGTGTCATCCGCGTGTCGGTGGATTCACGCTGCTGAGTCCTCTAGAATAAAGGCACGGAATCTGCTAGAAAAGAGAGCAGCCTGCTCGTTGCGGCAACGGGGCTCCCAAGTTACTTTGCTGAAATAGCTCATTTCGGAATCTAACCACCTCGACCAGAGTCACAATCCTGATGATAGTAAGGGTTCTGAATCTCTAGAGTCTATAAGGACTGGCAACCCCATCATTGGCCAGCCTTATTTTTAGACTTGTCAGAACTATTCTCTTCTCAGTGTGAGAATTCTCCTCGGCTTTGCTGCCAGTGAAGCAGCGTCTCGTGGAAACTCTCGTGGAAACTGACAGCGTTATATCCATCCGGCCTGACTAAGGCTGCTTCTGGGGAAACGCCAGTGCGGGAAATTGCACTGACTGACTCAGAGCGAATTGCACTGAACTCGGGAGTTCGTGACTACTACTTCCACGAATCAGTCGCCGGCGGTCGTGATGCGTGCGCTGCAGCAGACCATGCAAGGACGGCACATGATAGTGCAAGGCCGGCGGAATGGGCGTCAACGCCCCTTGTGCCTTCTCCTTCACTTGCTTCTGATTGCTGCATGGTCTGCTGCAGTAGCATCAGCAGCAGTGGCGGCAGCAGGAGCAGGCTCCCACAAAGAGGAGGCTGCTGAAACCAGTGCATCTGGTGCGCCTGGTGGGTCTGGTGCGTCTGTCCAGGCGTCTGCTAGCCCTGCATCAGGAGCCGCCGTTTCCAAGGGTTCATCACTTAAATCACCTGACATCGCACTGTTCAACAAATCGGCCAGGCTTTCTGGTTCTAGTATAAGGGATCATCATACCGGCGCAGGACATTTCTCTATTACTAAAGGAAATCATCATACCGGCGCAGGGAAGTTGAAGCAACGGCCACGCAGGCTCCCATGGGGATTGGCGAGCCAGATAGGTTCCCTCAGGAAATGGCCACGTGGATCCAGTCAATGTACGTGCTCCACGTCATCATCACAACCGTTGCTGCGATGGCTGCGTCCGCATAAGACAAGGAGAGGCGAGGAGGGCTGTGGGAAGGGACGGAGGGGCAAGGGGAAGAGGAGCAAGGGGAAGAGGAGCAAGGGGAAGAGGAGCAAGGTGAAGAGGAGCAAGGGGAAGAGGAGCAAGGGGAAGAGGAGCAAGGGAAAGAGAAGCAGATCGAAGAGAGGCAAGGTAGTGACTGGCTTATTGAAGGCGAAGAAGCGTCTGTGCACCGCGGTGGGATGTGCAAATGATGAAAGTCGGAGGAGGGAGGAGAGTAGGGGAAGGCGTGTGAGTAGGGCGTCAGGCAGACCCAAATCTCCAGCGGAAACTCCACTGAAGCCACCTGCTCAAATGACGCCTGGCCAGAAACCACCTGCTCCAAGAACGCCTGGTCAGAAACCACCTCCTTCAAAAACACCTGGACAAAAACCACCTGCTCCAATGATGCCTGGTCAGAAGCCACCTGCTTCAAAAGCACCTGGACAGAAAGCACCTGCTCCAGTAACACCTGGATCAAGATCACCTGCGAGTCCAGGTTCATCTGGAGCACCAGCTGGCCGCCACGTCAGCATGAAATCGCAGCAAGGCTCACTGCAAACACCAGCATCAGGCGACTCATCTATGGAACCATCAGGCAAGCCTGTGATCAACGCCACATACAAGGCTGTAGCGCCGTCCCCGGCTGTAGCGCCATCTCCTGCTGTAGCGCCATCTCCTGCTGTAGCGCCATCTCCTGCTGTAGCGCCATCTCCTGCTGTAGCGCCAGCTAGTGGCGGTGTTGCTGATTCCCCTAATTCTTCCAGTGCGTTTGGTGCAGCTGGTGCTGCTGGCTCTGCTGGTTTCCCCAGCACAGCAGCAGCATCTCCCTCTCCTCCCCCGGCTGCAGCGCAGCAGCCCAAGCCGAAGTACTTCTACGAGATGGGCAAGATCCGGGTGAGTGGGGCAAGGTTGGGGTGAGTGGGGAAAGATCTGGGTGAGTGGGGAAAGGTTGGGATGGGAATGGTTTATTTCTGTACTAGTCACACAAGGCCAGCGTCTTGGCCCCAGCTGCAGCCCAGCAGCCCAATCCGAAGTACTTCCACAAGAAGGGCAAGATCCGGGTGAGTGGGGCAAGACTGGGATGAGGTAGGGCGAGGTCCACACAGCTCGGACTCTTTATAACATGTTTCTTGCAAATGTATTACTATCCTCTTCTTCGCCCTGTACTGCTCTTTCCCCTGCTTTATCACCCCAGGTGTCAGACATCCACACTGCTCTGACTCGCTATGACATGATCCTTCATTCTCTAATGTGCTGCTTATTGATTTTCATTTTGATTTCTATGCTCTGTTCCCTGGTCTGCTCCAGGTGTCAGGCATCCACACTGCTCTGACTCACTATAAGACGATCCTTTATATAGATCGCACGGACGTCAGCAACACTTATGCCAAGCTGCCAAACGGAAGAGTAAGTGGGCTTTTTTCTCACACGTGATCCGATTGCCTTGTCGCAACCACAAGGCTTCACAAGGGGTCGAGCTCTCTGTGAGACAGACAGACATAGCAATCTCGGGTTTTGAGGGCCTAGAAGATAACCTCCCAAGCGGAAAGTAATTGGGTTTTCTCTCGCAAGTGCTCTGATTGCTTTGTCACATGCACAAGGCCACACAAGGGGTCGGTCTCTGTGAGTTAGACAAAGCAATATCGGGTTTTGAGGCGCCTAAAAGATAACCTCCCAAGCGGACGAGCAAGAGGATTTGCCCATACCAGTGCTCCGTTTGCTTTGACACAACACGAGGTCGCTCAGAGCTGTGGGTGTCTAGTCTAGCATCTGCCTTTTGAGGCGCCTCAAAAGACACCAGTGCTCCGTTTGCTTTGACACAACACGAGGTCAGAGCTCTGGGTATCAAGTCTGCTTTTGAGTCGACTCAAAATGACCTTTGAGTCGACTCAAAGGTCAGAGCTCTGGGTATCAAGTCTAGCAGCTGCTCCCTCACTCCATCACACTTGTTTCAAGAAGTCCCCCATCTGCCCCTCTCTTTCAGACAGCATTCGCAGAGGAGTATAGCTTTGACGCAAGGTCACTCAGAGCTGTGGGTTTCAAGCCTAGTATCTGCTCTCACCTATCCTGTTGCACCTACCTAGAATCTGCTCTCACCTACCCCGTTGCACCTACCTAGTATCTGTTCTCACCTACCCCGTTGCACCTACCTAGTATCTGCTCTCACCTACCCCGTTGCACCTACCTAGTATCTGCTCTCACCTACCCCGTTGCACCTACCTAGTATCTGCTCTCACCTACCCCGTTGCACCTACCTAGTATCTGCTCTCACCTACCCCGTTGCACCTACCTAGTATCTGCTCTCACCTACCCCGTTGCACCTACCTAGTATCTGCTCTCACCTACCCCGTTGCACCTACCTAGTATCTGCTCTCACCTACCCCGTTGCACCTACCTAGTATCTGCTCTCACCTACCCCGTTGCACCTACCTAGTATCTGCTCTCACCTACCCCGTTGCACCTACCTAGTATCTGCTCTCACCTACCCCGTTGCACCTACCTAGTATCTGCTCTCACCTACCCCGTTGCACCTACCTAGTATCTGCTCTCACCTACCCCGTTGCACCTACCTAGTATCTGCTCTCACCTACCCCGTTGCACCTACCTAGTATCTGCTCTCACCTACCCCGTTGCACCTACCTAGTATCTGCTCTCACCTACCCCGTTGCACCTACCTAGTATCTGCTCTCACCTACCCCGTTGCACCTACCTAGTATCTGCTCTCACCTACCCCGTTGCACCTACCTAGTATCTGCTCTCACCTACCCCGTTGCACCTACCTAGTATCTGCTCTCACCTACCCCGTTGCACCTACCTAGTATCTGCTCTCACCTACCCCGTTGCACCTACCTAGTATCTGCTCTCACCTACCCCGTTGCACCTACCTAGTATCTGCTCTCACCTACCCCGTTGCACCTACCTAGTATCTGCTCTCACCTACCCCGTTGCACCTACCTAGTATCTGCTCTCACCTACCCCGTTGCACCTACCTAGTATCTGCTCTCACCTACCCCGTTGCACCTACCTAGTATCTGCTCTCACCTACCCCGTTGCACCTACCTAGTATCTGCTCTCACCTACCCCGTTGCACCTACCTAGTATCTGCTCTCATCAATCCCCGTTTCCCCGGCCCCCAGACAGCATACGCAGAGGAGTACAGCTTCGAATCGAGATCGCTCAGGGTTCTGGGCGTGAAGTCCAATGTCTTGTGCTCTTCCCCCATCACGAAGATCCCCATCTGTCCCCTCCCCTGCCTATCCCCCCTTCTTCCCCTCTCACCCCCCCCCCCCCCCCGCCCTCTTTCCCCCCGCCCTCTTTCCCCCCGCCCTCTTTCCCCCCGCCCTCTTTCCCCCCGCCCTCTTTCCCCCCGCCCTCTTTCCCCCCGCCCTCTTTCCCCCCGCCCTCTTTCCCCCGCCCTTCCAGACGGCATATGCGGAGGAGTACAGCTTCGAATCGAGGTCCCTCAGGGCTCTTGACGTCAAGTCCAATGTCTTCTGCTCTGCAGGTCAGTGCGAGTCAATGCTGGTCAACACTGGTCAATGCTGGCCTGGGGTTTGACTATTGATGGTAGGGCGAATGACCTCCAAGGTCTCTCAGGGCTCTGGACGTAGTCTTCCGCTCCACAGTTCAGTGAAAGTCAACGCTAGTCAACGCAAGTCAACATGAATCAACGCTAGTCAACGCTAGTCATGCTAGTGAAGCCTGTTCTTCCTCCTTGCCACTCTCCTTCGAACCTCCGGGCTTCCCATCACCAGGAGCCATCGACCCCTGGGGTCGTGTCATCCCCACAGGAGGTATGACAGACGCCTACTACTCTTCACCAACCTAGCCCTCCATCCCCTTCCGGCTTCGTAACCCACCCCTTGTTGCTCATACCTCCACCCCCACTCCCACAACACCAGGAGCCATAGGTGTATTTTGAGTCGGCTCAAACTGCACTCCCACAACACCAAGAGCCATAGACCAATATGGCCGGCTCATCAGCATCGGAGGCATGTCAGACGCCAACGCCACCAACCTTGCCGACCCTCTTCTCGACAGGGCTGCCTTCCTATGCTCCTTCACTCCCTGAGAGGTCTATCGCCCGACCCACTCCGTGGATGGAGGGGTTTCCAACAACCCCCTCCACTCTCTTCTCTGCTGCCTTCCCTGCTTCCCCTTGCCTGCTTCCCCTTGCCTGCTGCCCCTTGCCTGCTGCCCCTTGCCTGCTGCCCCTTGCCTGCTGCCCCTTGCCTGCTGCCCCTTGCCTGCTTACCTTCTTTACTCCTCCAGGTGCCATCGACCAATACGGTCGGCTCATCAGCATCGGCGGCACGTCAGACGCCAACGCCACCAACCTGGCCGACCCTCTCCTCGACGGGGCTGCCTCCATCCGCTCCTTCACTCCCTGCCCCCCTGCTGCTGCTGCTGCTGCTGCCAATACTGCTGCCAAAAACAGCAGCAGCAGCAACAATAGCTGCGATTTCTCCCTGGTAGGGAAGATGACCTCCAAGCGCTGGTACCCCACGGCTCAGCTGCTTCCAGACGGGCGGATATTCGTCATTGGAGGCGCCAACGTCTTTGGCAATGTGGCTATCAATTCCTTTCGAGACAACAACCCCACCTACGAATTTTGGCCGAGGAAGGAAGCAGAAGGTGAGGAATGCTTGTTCAGGGCTGGCTGGTTGCTTGCACGTGTGTTGGGAGGCTGGAGGCTGGAGTGCGCTGGGCTACAGAGTTGGTAGGGAAGATGACCTCCAGGCGCTGGTACCCCACGGCTCAGCTGAGCCCCCCAGCTGCTGCCCGACGTGCGGATGTTCATCATGGGTTGGAGACGCCAATGTGTTTTGCAATGCAACGTGACGTGGCCATCAACTCGTTCCTATGAATCGTTCATTCTGGCCGAGAAAGGGATGGCGAAGGTTACGAACTGGGGGAGGGGGACTTCGCCAGAAGGTGAGGGACTTCGCCAAAAGGTGAGGGATTTCTCCCAGAGAGAGGGTCCCTCACCTTCTCCGTCCTGACTACCAGAGAGAAGGTGAGGGACTGGGGTAAGGGGGGGCACGTTTCTCTCTGGTAGCGTTTGGGACGTCGCCCTGGTAGCAGCTGTGCTGTGAGACCCAAGCAACCAAGCAGTGGTACCAGACATCCGAGCTTTTGCCTGATGGTAAGAGCTCATGACGTTCCCACCCACCCCTGTTCCCACCTGCACCATACCCACCTCCCCAAATCACAGGCAACTACAAGCTGTGCGCTTTCTGGAAGAGACTCTGCCCTACAACCACAACCCCTTCGTGCACCTGCTGCCTTCTGGCTACCTCCCTGTTCCCAACCCTTAGACTCCCCTGACCCGCCCTTACCCCAGGCAACTACAAGCTGCGCTTTCTGGAAGAAACTCTGCCCTACAACCTCTACCCATTTGTGCACCTGCTGCCTTCTGGACACCTGTTCATATTTGCGGGGCAGCAGGCAATTCTCCTCAACTACACCACAAACTCAGTAAGTTGTAGAGTTACACTAAGCAACGCAGGGTGTAACACACCCGGGATTGTTGGGTTTCCCTCCCTGCTGCCCTCCGGCCACCTTTTCGTATTTGCGGGGCAATGCGCGATTCTCCTCCACTACAGCACAAGCACAATATTGCAGTGAGTATTGCAGTGAATATTGCAGTGAGTATTGCAGTGAATATTGCAGTGAGTATTGCAGTGAATATTGCAGTGAGTATTGCAGTGAGTATTGCACTGAGTGTTGCAGTGAGCATTGCAGTGAGCATTGCAGTGAGTATTGCAGTGTGCATTGCAGTGAGTATTGCAGTGAGTATTGCAGTGAGCATTGCAGACTTATGCATAGTATCACGTTCGCCTCTGCCTCCCCTGTTTCAGGCGTACAGCTCGCTGCCCCCCCTGGACATCTCTCGCTTCCTCCTTCATTCTCCACTGCACTGCGCCTCTCGCCCTCCCTGCCATCCCGATCTCCGGGGTCCCGCCAGCGCCAACATCTGCCATCTTTCAGCCCTTGAGGCGCCTCAAAAATAGACTCCTCACTTTCTGTGCCACTTTCAGCTGTGCCACTTTCTGCCCTTCGGCCCCGCCAACGCCAACATCTTCCGCTCCTATCCCATCACTGGCTCTTCCGGTCTCCATCCCCCAACCAGCCATTCCTTTACCCCCCCCCTTTCTCCCCCGTCCCTTGGGTTCCCATTTCAGGTTTATCGCACGCTTCCCCCTCTGGACGTCTCTCGCTTCGGCCCAACCAACGCCAACATCTTCCGTTCCTACCCCGTCACTGGCTCGTCCGCCATGCTACAGCTCTCCTCAGGTAAGCACACTTGCGGCTGACTGGTACATAGTGAGTCACCTCGGCTGACTGGTACATAGTGAGTCACCTCAAGCCGCTCCTACCCCGTCACTGGCTCGTCCGCCATGCTACAGCTCTCCTTAGGTATTTTCGTCAGCGCCTCGCAGCAGCCAGGACAGGTATCTGCATTACAGGCAAGGTTTGGTTGGGGCGCCGCAACGCCAGCACTAGCATGCTCCGCTCCTACGGTCCTACCCCGTCACTGGCTCCCCTGCCATGCTACAGCTCTCCTCAGGTTGCCTCACCACTCTTCAGCTGTGCCACAACTATCATCATGTATGTGGTATCTGCGGGGGCAGCAGCATCGAATTTTGAGGCGCCTCAAAAATAAACTCATCTACGGGGGCAGCAGCATCGAGGCAGACCTGGCGAATCGTGGCAATCGCGTAGGGCATGCCTTGGGTGCCGCTGCTGTGCCTGTGCTGGTTGCTACCTCCCATCCCACGAAGCCTTCCCCCAACCCCATTCGTCTGTTGGCCCTCCCCAGCCGACGGCTACACTCCCAGGATCCTCATCTGCGGGGGCAGCAGCAGCAAGGCGGACCTGGCTAATCGGGACAACCGGACGGGGGCGTGTCTTGGGTGTGCTGCCCCTGCCACTGCCACGTGTGGGCTCATCGCCCCCATGGATCGGAACCCCAAGTGGACCTATGAAATAATGCCTGTTGCTCGGTGAGTGGTTTTACTGCTCATAGCCACATTATTTACACTCCTGGCTGTGTTGCCCCTGACACGGCGAGGTGTGGGCTCATTTCTCCCTTGGGTCCCGAACCTAAGTGGACCTGTGAAGTCATGCCCGTGACTTGGTGAGTATTAAAAGTGCTGATAGCCACAGTTTCTACACTCTTGGTTGTGTTGCCCCAGCTCCTGCCACTGCGACGTGTGGCCTCGTTGCTCCCATGGATCGAAACCCTAAATGGACCTATGAAATCATGCCAGCAGCTAGGTGATTAGTGCTATGTGACAGGCACCATAAGTCCAACCAACGGTGCTACTCTTGCATCTGCCACTGCCCCGGCCGCTGCCTCTGCCACTGCCACTGCCACTGCGGTGGGTGGGCTCACTGCTCCCATGCACCCCGCCCACCCCTAGATGGTCCTACCAGATCATGCCTACCCGTGCCCCCGTGAGTGCTGCTGAGGTGGTTCTACAAACACAAGTGTATGTTGCCTTTCAAGCAGACAGGGCCGTGTATTGGGTGTGCTGCCACTGCCCCTGCCCCTGCGTGAGGAGTCTATTTTTTAGGCGCCTCAAAAATAGACCCCTGGCCCTGGCCCTGCCCCTGCCCCTGGCCCTGCCCCTGCTGTGGGCTCACTGCTCCCATGCACCCCGCCCACCCCTAGATGGTCCTACCAGATCATGCCTGCCGGTGCCCCGATGAGTTTTTTTCCTCTGTAATTTTGTCCTCTTCCCCTTTCACCCATCCGCCCATCTCCCCCACTCGTCCCCCGCCTCCTCCCCCCCATATCTCTGTTGACCCCCCCATATCTCTGTTGACCCCCCCATATCACTCTTGACCCCCCCATATCTCCGTGAGCAGTGCCATTCCAGATGCTGTGCTTATAGGGTGCGTTCTAGAATTCTCAAAAACGCCCTGCGATACTGGAACGCATGACTTTTGAGTCTACTCAAAAACACCCTGCGATACTGGAACGCATGACTTTTGAGTCTACTCAAAAATACCCTGCGATACTGGAACGCATGAATTTTGAGTCTACTCAAAAACACCCTGCGATACTGGAACGCATGACTTTTGAGTCTACTCAAAAACACCCTGCGATACTGGAACGCATGACTTTTGAGTCTACTCAAAAACACCCTGCGATACTGGAACGCATGACTTTTGAGTCTACTCAAAAACACCCTGCGATACTGGAACGCATGACTTTTGAGTCTACTCAAAAACACCCTGCGATACTGGAACGCATGACTTTTGAGTCTACTCAAAAACACCCTGCGATACTGGAACGCATGACTTTTGAGTCTACTCAAAAACACCCTGCGATACTGGAACGCATGACTTTTGAGTCTACTAAAAAACATCCTGCGATACTGGAACGCATGACTTTTGAGTCTACTCAAAAACACCCTGCGATACTGGAACGCATGACTTTTGAGTCTACTCAAAAACACCCTGCGATACTGGAACGCATGACTTTTGAGTCTACTCAAAAACACCCTGCGATACTGGAACGCATGACTTTTGAGTCTACTCAAAAACACCCTGCGATACTGGAACGCATGACTTTTGAGTCTACTCAAAAACACCCTGCGATACTGGAACGCATGACTTTTGAGTCTACTAAAAAACATCCTGCGATACTGGAACGCATGACTTTTGAGTCTACTCAAAAACACCCTGCGATACTGGAACGCATGACTTTTGAGTCTACTCAAAAACACCCTGCGATACTGGAACGCATGACTTTTGAGTCTACTCAAAAACACCCTGCGATACTGGAACGCATGACTTTTGAGTCTACTCAAAAACACCCTGCGATACTGGAACGCATGACTTTTGAGTCTACTCAAAAACACCCTGCGATACTGGAACGCATGACTTTTGAGTCTACTCAAAAACACCCTGCGATACTGGAACGCATGACTTTTGAGTCTACTAAAAAACATCCTGCGATACTGGAACGCATGACTTTTGAGTCTACTCAAAAACACCCTGCGATACTGGAACGCATGACTTTTGAGTCTACTCAAAAACACCCTGCGATACTGGAACGCATGACTTTTGAGTCTACTCAAAAACACCCTGCGATACTGGAACGCATGACTTTTGAGTCTACTCAAAAACACCCTGCGATACTGGAACGCATGACTTAACTAGTCCAGAGCGCCACCCCTCCGCTCTCACTCCCTTCCCCCCCCCCACACACCCCCCCTTCTCCCCCCCCCCACCCCCCACTTTCCTCTTCTCCCTCCCCTACGCCCCCCATGACTAGTGCCATGCCACATGCCGTGCTTCTATTGGATGGCTCGGTCCTGATCTGCAACAGGGGACAGAGGGGCTTCCAGGGTCTCTAACGATTGTTCAGCTCCGCTGTTCCAAAACGCAACCCCCCTGCTCTCACTCCCTTCCCCCCCACAACCCCCCCTTCCACCTCCCCCCTCCCCGCCCCCACTTACCTCTTCTCCCCTACGCCCCCCTGAGCCCGAGCAGTGTCATGCCAGATGCTGTGCTCCTATTGGACGGCACCGTCCTGATCTGCAACGGAGGCAGGAGGGGCTTTCAGGGGCTCAAGCAGACGTATGCTGGTGGGGACGTGAGGAGTCCTGTCATCTACAGCCCCAACAGCCGTGCTGGATCACGGTATGAAGCAACTATGTGGGAAGAGTCAGCCCTGCGAGAGTGAGAAGCACGAGGGGCTTCCAGCGTTTGAAGCATTTCTTTCTGTTGGGACGTCAGAGCGTCAGAGCGCCAGAGCCCAGCCGCTAAGCCTTATCCTGCTGACTCCCAACCTGTCTCCTCTAGCTCTCCGGCTTTGCGTAACCTCCCCATGTACCCTCCCTACAGTTTTTCTGGCAAGTGCCAGAGTCAAGCCGCTATGCCCGCATGTATCATTCCTCCGCTCTGCTCCCCTGGGATGGCTCCATGCTCATTTCCTCGTCTAACCTCGGCAACCCCTCCTCTCCCCGCGTCCCCCTTCCCTCGTCTCCCACATCCTTAGGTTCTGGCAGGTGCTGGAATCCAGCCGCTATGCCCACATGTACCATTCCTCCGGCCTGCTGCTCTGGGATTGCTTTTGAGTCGACTCAAAAGCTGCTCTGGCACGGCTCCGTGCTCATTTCCTTGCCTAACCTCGACAGCCCCTTCTCTTCCGCCCTGCTGCTCTAGGACGGCTCTTTCTCCTTTCAGTCACCCCCATCACCCTGCTGGAACCCCGTTGTCTCCCTTCTCATTCCTCCCTCCCCCTTCACAGCTTCTGGCAGGTACCCGAGTCTAGCCGCTATGCCTGCATGTACCCCTCTTCCGCCCTGCTGCTCTGGCATGGTTCCGTGCTCATTTCCACGTCTCCCCGCCTCCCTCCTCCCTCCCTTTGCCGCAGGTTCTGGCAGGTTCAAGAGTCAAGCCACTATGCCGCATGTATCATTCCTCCGCGCTGCTCCCCTGAGACGGCACCGTGCTGATTTTGACGTCTAACCTCGACAATCCCTCTTCTCCGGCCTCCCCCCTCCCCCATCTCCCATCCCCTTAGGTTCTGGCAGGTACCGGAGTCCAGCCGTTATGCCCGCATGTACCACTCCTCCGCCCTGTTGCTCTGGGACGGCTCCGTGCTAATTTCCGGGTCTAATCCCAACGACCGCCTCACCACGAGGGGAACTTACCCTACTCAATTTGCTGTTGACCGGTTTGCCCCGCCGTATCTGCAGTGGGGGGTGCCGAGAAACATCCTGTGGAGGGTGAGTTGAGAAGCAAGGTCGGGTATAATTGCCAGAGGGGGAGAGGTAGATCGAGTTGGTAACTACGCAAAGGGGATGTGTTTTGCCTTGCGATATCTGCAGTGGGGTTTGCCCTGCGATATCTGCAGTGGGGTTTGCCCTGCGATATCTGCAGTGGGGTTTGCCCTGCGATATCTGCAGTGGGGTTTGCCAAGGAACTTTATGGAAGGCTAGTGTTGAGAGCTAGAGCTTCTTTTATGGGCCAAGTTGAGTGAGTGGGGGGAAAATGAATATGGGTGTGTCAGTTTAGGGGTAATTGGGGGGATTCTGAGGCTGACTGTGGCCTGGGGGGGTGGGGGTTGGGGTGAGAAGGAATAGGGAAATCAAATCCTTCAGGCATTTCCTGCAGTTTGTGTTGCCTCGAGCCGGCAGCCGATCCCCTTCGCTCCCTCGCATTATCAGCCGCCTTCAAGCCGTGCTTGTCCACGGTGTTTATCCCTGTTGTTCTTCTCCCTCCCTCCACCTACCACCCTTCAGCTGCCCTCCACAATTGCCTTGAACTCCCTCTTCTCCGTCCGACTCAACACAACTGTGGTCTCTCCCCCGTCGCTCTCTCGCCTTATCGACCGCTTCCGAGCCGTGCTCGTCCATCCGGGTTTTTCCACGCACAGCCAACGGATGGGTATGCGTAACGTGCTGCTCGAAATATCCGCAATATGGATTTCGCCGGATAATCAAACTGTTACGGCATCTATAAGAGCGCCACCTAATGGCAGCATTGCCCCGCCTAGCATTTACTGGTTGCATATATTGGATCAAGGTGGCTATCGCAATGCTGATGGTGCATGGGTGCCTGGAAAGTGGGTGCCGAGTTTAGAAGGTCAACCTATCAGGCTAACATAGATAATTTTAGGGTTACAGGAACAATTTAACGAAGCATCTGATATATTATCTCCAAAACTAAATGCATGTCTATGTGTAGCTATATCTAGTTGAGTGGAACCAACCAAACCCTTTTAGTGAGAACAAGTATACAAGACTTGTTGATTAGTTTAAGTTCTCGTCTAAACTATCCGCGTTTGTAATCCCCCATGAAGACCAGCCACAACAAAGCCGCACCCCCTGACTCTCTCCTCACCCTCCCCACCTTCAAATTCTTTTCTTCCGGGCCTCTAGTCTGCAAATTCCTCCTATCCTCCAGATCCCAGATTCCGACTTCCCTAGTGATTGACGAGACATTGGCAATAGCCAGATCAGGTGACTCCTTGCCTAGGTTGCTGTTCCCTTCCAGCAGCCGCAGCTATGGCGTCTCTAGGCGCCGTCGGGGTTCGATTCGCGCGTAACCTCGCGGTTTTCGCTCTGGTCCTGGTTTCGCTCGCGTGCGTCTGCCAAGCGAGCGATCTGGTCATCGTCCGTGCAGATCGTAAGGTGCGAAACGCTCTTTTCTGAAATCGTGCAGAGGAATCATTTAGTCACCCCGTCCTCGCGGTTTTCGCTCTTGTTCTGCTCCCGCTCGCGTGTATCTGTCGAGCGATCGAGCGAGCGAAATTCTGGGCATCGTCCGTGCAGATCGTAAGGTGCGGGATGCTCGTTTCTGAAATCGCATTTGAAGCATTTGAGACATTCCGGCCTTTCTCGCCACTGGTGACTTTTGAGCCGACTCAGAAGTTACCTCGTCCGTGCAGATCGTAAGGTGCGAAATGCTCATTATCAAGGTGGTCGGAATATAAGTTTGAGTTAACACGGCGGGATGTCGCCACTCGCATTCCGTCCGAATCTAAGATTCGGACTCAAGTGGTCTGAGTATACGATGATCCTTATTTTTGAGATCCGCAGCTTAAGGTCGATCGATGGATCTGACTTGTCGCTTGGCAAGGGTGCGATGCGATTCCGGCAGAAAATTTTGCATTGTCGCTCATTAGGATACTTTTACACGCGGTTCAGCGCTTCACGTGTCACGCCTTTGACTTACGTTTTAGCCGGATTTTGCTTTCTTTCTTCCTCGCCGCCGTCTCTCAATGTCAACGTCAGTAAATTTCACGCGGCCAACCCTTCGGATCTAGATTACCAAGTGAATCCAGTCGGCTTTTGAGCCGACTCATTACTGTTCATTCCATTATGCTTTCCGCGCTGACACCATGGCTGATCCCTAAATTTCCTTTTTCTTTCCTGTTTCCTGCCCGTTCTCTTCCTCTTTTTCCCCTGATGTGTTCTGTGTTGCAGATCGACCTTCAGACGCATCTCGTCCGCAACTCCGCGACCCTCAAGGTGAGACATTTGGGTGATGATCCGCCACGTGGTAGTCGTAGGCGACGGACAAGGTGGAGTGATCCGCCACGTGGGATTCGTAGTCAGAGCCGACGGACGAGGTGGAGTGATCCGCCACGTGGGATTCGTAGTCAGAGCCGACGGACAAGGTGGAGTGATCCGCCACGTGGGATTCGTAGTCAGAGCCGACGGACAAGGTGGAGTGATCCGCCACGTGGGATTCGTAGTCATAGCCGACGGACAAGGTACAGTGATCCGATGCAAGGCCACGTGATAGAAGATTTGTTTTGAGACGTCTCAAAACAATCTTCTGTCACGTAGTCACAGCCTACGGTCAAGGTGGAGTGATCCGATGCATTGTCAGGAATGCTAGGAATGCTAGGAATGCTAGGAATGCTTCATTGGGTTCTGATGCCTGATGCACCCATGCATGCATGCATATTTTTGAGTCGACTCAAAAATAGACTCATTCGGTTCATTGGGCTCTGATGCACACATGCATGCACGCACGCATGCATGCATGTGTGCCTAGTTCTGACGGCAGCGAATGCACGCGTGGCAGCAGATGATGATACTCATGATGTTTTGCGCAAGGGCTCCGACACGGCAGGGCGCTGAATGCGCCCTGCTGACGTGGAGAGACGCACATGCCATGAGCACTCTGATGCTGGCTGCTGTGCTGGCTGCTGTGCTGGCTGCTGTGCTGGCTGCCGTGCTGGCTGCTGTGCTGGCTGCCGTGCTGTCTGCTGTGCCCTGTTTTTATGTCCAGGTGTTTATCAGTGTTAATCGGTCGTCTGTCGTTCTCCATCCTCTCTCTCTCTCTCAACCATCCATCCGCCGTTCCCTATATTTGAGGCGCCTCAAAAATAGACTCCTCACGCATGGGTTTTGAGGCGGCTCAAAAATAGACTTCTCTCGACCATCCATCCGCCGTTCCCAATACCTCACTCCAGCCAGTCCCTCCGAGCGTCGCTGTTCAGATTAGCGTCCCTTTTCCGATCCCCTTTCTGAAACCCCCTTCTTCAGGTGGAGAACGCAGGGTCAACCCCGGCGTCCTCGGTCTTTCTCGCCCTCCTCGTGCCTCCCCCCGGCCGCCTCGCCTGCGTTTGTTGACCCAAGTATATTCCCAATCTGTCTTGATCCCCTCCCTGCAGGTGGAGAACGCCGGGTCAACCCCAGCGTCCTCGGTCGTTCTCGCCCTGCTCGTCCCGCCGCCCGGCCGCCTCGCCTTCGTCACAGCCGTGCTCCCGCAGGGCAAGGCCAAGAGCCCCTCACTCCGCACCGTTCCCAGTCCCTTCTTATAACCCTTGTCCGTTCTCCACCCTCCCACTCACTCCCCACAGGTGGAGAACGCGGGCACATCCCCAGCGTCCTCGGTCGTTCTCGCCCTGCTCGTGCCTCCCCCCGGCCGCCTCGCCTTCGCCACAGCCGTGCTCCTGCAGGGCAAGGTCAAGAGTCGCACCTTCCAGGAACTCCCCCTCACTCCCATCACCCCCTCATACGCCGTCGAGAATGGCGTCTACTTCGAAGCCCAGCTCCCGACGCCTTTGGAGCCGGGGAAAACCGCCCAGGTGGAGGTCTATTTCGTGGTGATCAACGCGCTCACGCCCCACCCGGCTGAGATCACCCAAGCCGACCCTCAGCTGGTTATTTTCGAGGATTCTCACTACCTCACGTCGCCGTACCCGGTCCGGTCCCAGAGCACTATTATCCGCCTCCCGAGCCACCAGATCGAGTCTTTCACGGCGAAGGAACCTTCCAGGAAGACGGATTCGGAGATTAAGCTCGGGCCGTATGAGGGGGTGGAGAAAGGCGAGGTGTCGCCGCTGCTGGTGCACTATGAGAATAACCGGCCGTTTCCGCTGTTTGAGCGGGCGGAGCGGGAGTACGAGATCTCGCACTGGGGGAATGTGTATGTCACGGAGGACTACCACCTGGTGCACTCTGGCGCAAAGCACAAGGGCATGTTCTCGCGGTAAGTGGGGCACATAAGGGGCCAGGGGGGCGGGGAGGGGAGGTGTCGCCGCTGGTGGTGCACTATGAGAATAACCGGCCGTTCCCGCTGTTTGAGCGGGCGGAGCGGGATTACAAGATCTCGCACTGGGAGAATGTTTATGTCACGGAGGGCTACCACCTGGTGCACTCGGGCGCCCAGCACAAGAGCATGTTCTCGCGGTAAGAGGGGTAGAGAGGACTTAGAGAGGACTCATGGCAATGCTGCCAGAGAGGGGCTCAGGTTCCCTCACTCGCCCCTGTTGCCCGCTCTTCCCCCGCCGGTACCCCCCCTCTCCACCGAACCCTCCCCATTTCTCCTCTCAGCATCCCCCCATGGCCATAGGAGTCGGTGCCTGAGAGGGGTTCACTTGGGGTGATTCAAGCCAAACATCTCCTCCTATACGCCCCCTTCGCCCCCTTCCTCTCTTTTGATCGTTCCCATTAACCCAGCCTGGGCTACCAGCACCGTCCACAGGCCATTGTCGTGTCGTCGCTGCGCGGACTCATGGCGGCGCTGCCAGAGAGCGGTTCACTTGGGGCGACTCAAACCAGACATCTCCTCCTCCTATACGCCCCCTTGGCCCCTCCCTCCCCTCTTTCCCCTCCCAATAACACTGTCTGGACTACCAGCACCGCCCCATGGCGATCGGAGTGTGGTCGCTGCGCGGACTTACGGCCGTGCCACCAGAGAGGGCTCATCCCGCCCCCCCACATCCCGGTCCTCTTCCCCTCTCCCCCCCTCCGCTCATCCCCACTTCCCTCCCCCCCCAGTCTGGACTACTAGCATCGCCCCATGGCGATCGGAGTGTGTCGCTGTGCGGACTCATGGCCGTGTGCCAGAGAGGGGCTCGTTCGATTCGACCTAACCCCCACGCCTCCTCCTTCCCCTCACTACCATCCCGTCTCCCTCCAACCCCTCCTCTCCCCCCCTCCCCCCCCCCCCTAAATCCCCCCAGTCTGGACTACCAGCACCGCCCCATGGCGATCGGAGTGTCCTCGCTGCGCGGACTCATGGCGGTGCTGCCAGAGAGGGCCAACACGGTGTACTACAGAGACGAGATTGGGAATATCTCCTCCTCTCACCTGCGGTACCCGCACAGAAAGGTGTGTGCTGGGGTGCTGGTGGGTGCTGGTGGGTGCTAGTGGTGGGCTAGCCTAGCGGGGGTTTAATGGTGGGCTCGTGGCGGGGCTGCCAGAGAGGGCCAACTCGGTGTACTACAAAGGCGAGATTGGGGATATCTCCAGCTCGCACCTCCAATATCCGCATAGGAAGGTGCGCATCGGGTGTAGTACAGACGTCTTTGGGGGATGGGGCAACGGGATAGATGGGATAATGGTAAGTTTAAGGTTCAGGGTGTATGCAGTGATGTTTATCAGAAGCTTACACTTATCATTTTCACCATACATCACTCTTACCATGTATCTACATGCACATGCCTGCCCCTGACCTCCATGCCTATCCCCGAACCCCATGCCTGTCCCGAACCTCTCAGGCCGAGCTGGAGATCGAGCCTCGGTACCCGCTCCTGGGTGGCTGGTCAGTGACCTTCCGAGTGGGGTACAGCGTGCCTCTGAGCGACCTGGTCTCGATCAGCACGGACGGCACTCGCGTGCTCAACGCTACTTTTGGGAGCCCCTTTGCCGACGTCCCTATTAAGCACTTAACTGTCAAGGTAACCCTACAGGGGACGGAAACAGCCTGCTGCCTGGGTGGTGGGTGGTGGGTGGTGGGTGGTGGGTGGTTGGTGGGGTGAGTGACCTTCCAAGTGGGATACAGCGGGCCTCTGAGCGACCTCGTCTCTATCAGCACGGACGGCACTCGTGCTCAACGCTACTTTTCGGAGCCCCTTTGCCGACGTGCCCATCCAGCACCTCACTGTCAGGGTTATCTGTTGGAATGTTGGACAGTCAAGGTGGGCTAGTGGGAATGGGTTGCACCACACTGCACGAGAATACCACTACACGAGAGTACCACTACACGAGAGTACCACTACACGAGAGTACCACTGCACGAGAATATCACTGCACGAGAATATCACTCGCGTGCTCAACGCCACCTTCGGGAGCCCCGTAGCCCACGTGCCCATCAAGCACCTCACTGTCAAGGTGAGCCGCTGGGAGTTAGGTGAGCGGTTGGGAGGTATTGGGAGAGGTGAGTGCGGTGGGGATGCACTCCACGCCATCTTCAGCGTGCCTTGAGGCAACTCAGGTGTACCCTTCACACCCTGACCCTCCTTTCTGCATGTGCCTTCCCTCCCTCCCTCCCTCCCTCCCGCCTCCTCTCCCTGCAGGTGGTGCTTCCCGAGGGTTCGTACGGCATTTCAGCAGACGTCCCTTTCCATGTGGGAAAGAGCACCGAGGTGAGAGGAGGGGAATGAGGATGGAGGATGGGGGGCATGGGCATGGGGGTATGGGGGGATGGGCATGGGGGTATGGGGGCATGGGCATGGGGGTATGGGGGTATGGGGGCATGGGCATGGGGGTATGGGGGTATGGGGGCATGGGCATGGGGGTATGGGGGCATGGGCATGGGGGTATGGGGGCATGGGCATGGGGGTATGGGGGCATGGGCATGGGCATGGGCATGGGCATGGGCATGGGGGTATGGGGGCATGGGCATGGGCATGGGGGTATGTGGCATGGGCTCATGGACATGGCTCCTATGGCATTTCAGCAGACGTTCCTTTCCCTGTTGGCAAGAGCACAGAGGTGAGGCGGGGGGGGGTCAGAACCTGTACCCGGACACCGTGGATCGCCTGCGAGCTGCTGGATAGGGGACTTTTGAGTCGACTCAAAAGTCACCTCGAACTTGTACCTCGACACTGTGGATCGCCTGCGGGCTGCTGGATAGGGGACGTGAATCAGTGCGTCATCCCTCCCTCCCACCCACGCCTTGCTGTTTCAAACATCACTCCCACCCCTCTCATCCCCTCACCTCCCCTCCTCCCCTCCAGACCAAGTACTCGTACCTGTACACAGTGGGGGAAAGGCCGGTCATTGTCCTCAATAAGAAGAATGAGTCACTGATTTCGCACCCACCCCTTGCTGTTTCCCCCATCTCTTGTTGTTTCCCGCATCTCTCCAATCCCTCCTCCCCTCCAGACCAAGTACTAGTACCTGTACTTAGTGGAGGGAACGCCTTTTGAGGCGCCTCAAAAGCCATCGAGACCAAGTACTTGTACCTGTACACAGTGGGGGGAAGGCCGGTCATTGTCCTTGATTAGAAGGATGGATCACTGATATTTTTTTCCCGCCCCTTTCTGTGTCCCCCATTCCCCCCCCTCCCGGCCCGTCCGTTTCCCCTTCCTCCCAACCCCCCCCCTCCCCCGCTCCCTTCCAGACCAAGTACTCGTACCTGGACACAGTGGGCAGGCCTGTTGTTGTCCTCGATAAGACGGATGTGGTGCCGGAGCAGGGGATCATGCACTTCCAGGTGGGTGCTTTCTGACTGTAGCGCATGTGACACAATCAAAACATACCATTCTGCCTCTTGGATAAGAGGGATGTGGTGCCGGAGAAGGGGATCATGCACTTCCAGGTGGGTGCTTTTGTGACATCACAGCATACATGGGGTGTGACAACCCACTCTTTGAGTCAACCCAGAAGGCTATTTTTCTCCTGTGATTAAAGGGATCACATTTAGGTGGGTGCGTCACCACTGCTTACATGGGATGTGACCTCTTGCAGATTAAGGCAATTCTAACCCAATATGTTTTTCTTCTGGGATAAGAGGGAGGTGTTGCAAGAGCAGGGGATCAAACACTTCCAGGTAAGTCGTTTGTGAGTGACACGGTGTGATTAGAGCACGCTGTGCCAGTATGTGACACGAGGGATTCTGAGTTAGTGACACGAGTATGTGTCAGCCCACCCACTCCAACCTCACCATCTCCAAAACTGCTCCTCCAGGGACTTGTATCTTTTATTGTGCCGCTCTCTCTCTTCCCATCCCCTCCCTTTCCCTTCCTTCCCTGCCCTGCCCTTCTTCTTCATTCCCCTCAGTCTATCTTTCCCCTCCAATTCCTCACCAGGTGAAGTAAAAGTTCCCAACCATTGCTCTCTTCACCGAGCCCCTCCTCCTCGAGCTCTCCTCCTCGTGCTCTCCTCCTCATACACCCACTCCGACCTCACCATCTCCAAAACCGTCTCTTCTTCTTGCCACCCTCTCCCCGCCCCCTTCCCTTCCCTTCCCTTCCCTGCCGGTCCCCCCCCCTCCCCCCTTCACGAGGAATTCCCTTCCCCCTCTTTTCCCTGTCTCACCCCGTTTCTGCTGCTCCCTTGCCCTTCCCTCTCCCGCCCCCCCCTCCCCCCTGCCAGGTGAGGTACAAGTTCTCAGCCATCGCTCTTTTCACCGAGCCCCTCCTCCTCGTCCTTGCCTTCTTCCTCCTCTTCCTCCTCTTCATCGCCTACACCCACTCCGACCTCACCATCTCCAAGACCGCCCCCTCCTACCTCGCCAAGCTCCACCACGAGGAATTCCTCGACCTCATCCAACGGCTCTCGCGCCTCGTGGCCGATCGTGCAGCCCAGATTGAGTCCCTGGATGCGGGTCTGGTGAAGCTGGGGAGGAGCGGGGACGTGGCGGGGGCGAAGGCTGCCAGGAGGGCGGTGGAGGGGGAGTTGAAGGAGAGCGCGAGGGAGATTGCCGCTGTGGTGGAAAAGATCGAGGCTCTTCCCAAGGCCCCTGCCGGTCCCGTGCGCACGGTAAGTGCCTCCCCTGCACGAGCAACCCCCACCCCCCCTCCAAAACCATCTCTTCCCTTCTTTTCGTTCTGCATGCATCCGGCCTCCTTATCACCTCACCGTCTCCCCGCCCCCAGGTGCAAGTGCTGGTTGTGAAAGAGGAGGAGTGAGCAGAGAGGGCGGTAGCCAAGCACACAGTGGCAGTGGCAGTGGAGGCGTATGAGAGGAAGACCCCCGCCAAGGAGATCAACGCTAAGACTTCCCTCCGTGTCTCTGCTTGCCACCACTTAATCCCCCCAACCTACCCCAGGTGCAAGTGCTGGTTGTGAAGGAGAAGGAGCGGGCAGAGAGGGCGGTAGCGAAGCACACAGTGGCAGTGGAGGCCTATGAGAGGAAGACCCCTGCCAAGGAGATCGACGCCAAGATCGCCCCCATGCAGCAGCGCCTGGGGGCTCTCAAGGCGGAGATCAAGGAACTGGTTATGGCTCTGGAGGAGTGAATTGGGGGATGGGAATGGGTGAGGGGAGAGGGGAGTGGAAGGAGAGTTGGAGGGATGCCATCGGCGCCAAGATCGCCGCCATGCATCAGCGCCTGGGGCTCTCAAGGCCGAGATCAAGGAACTGGTCATGGCTCTGGAGGAGTGAATTGGATGAGAGGGGAATGGAAGGGGTGGGGAGGGGAGGAGGGAAGGCAGGATGCCAAGATTGCCCCCCCATGCATCAACGCTTGGGAGGGTTCAAGCCCCACTTCAGGTTGCTGGCCTGTGGTCTGTTTCTTTTGTTTGAGTCACTTGATATGAGTACAAGTCGGTGCATGCTGTGGATAGTCAGATCAGATTGATGCTTATAGATGAACGTGTTCCTCGTTCACGCGGATAACTCTATACCGAGGTTGCGCGCTTGGATGGGAAGATTGGAAGGATTCGCGGACGCGTTACTGGTAACTGATCCGCTTTACCGTAGACCCTGTTTTGAGCGGTTTAATTATGTTTCCTGCAATTCTGTCGCGGTGCTGCGGGTTACCGAGGATCATACAGGCTGATCCGTGTTGGTTGAACTCCGAGTTCAGGCCACGTGGCGTTGTGTTGCGTTCCAAGTCTGTCGCTGCGTAGGAGCCGCGCTGCTTGCGCGGAGCACGGATTTTCCGCTAAATCCCTCGTCGCGCTCTGGGGCATTGATGTCTGAGTGTTGAGTTTCCGTGACTCAAAAGTCGACTGTTGAGTCGATTGAGATCTCATCGCCTCCAGTTTAGGAGCTGCTGCTTGCGCGGAGCACGGAAGTTCCGCGAAACTTTCGTCGCCGCGCTTTGCGGCGATGGCATCAGTCGAACCTTCCACGCCTGCGGCTGGCCGTGCCACCGCTAATCCCGGAGCCGCGGAGACTGCATCCAGCCAATACACGGACTTTAAGACGCAGACTTGGTACGACGTGCAGCGGAACGCGCCCGCCGGTAATCAGCGCGGCGCTGCGGGCGCAGGCGGAGCGGAAGGCGGAGTCGCAGTGGCGGAGAGCTTCTCCGCGGAGGAGGTGCTCCGCCAGGCGGAGGAGCAGGCGGCGGAGCGGAGGCGCGGCGCACGGCTGCGCGCGGCTCCCCCGGTGTACTTCTTCCCGCGGCGGTCGTGGGGTGTGACTATAGCGAGATACGGCGCGGTTATAGCGGCGGGGCTGGGGGCAGGGATGGCGCTAGAGACATGGATCCGACAAAAAGTGGCAGGTAAGGGCTGGGGGGGGAGGGGGGGGAGGGGGGGGAGTCGGACTTGTGGGGACGAGGGGGTTGAGGTGGGGGAGAGGGGGGGGCTATAGCGAGGTACGGGCGGGGATGGCGCTAGAAACATGGATCCGACAAAAAGTGGCGGGTAAGGGCTGGGGGAGGGGGGGATGGGGGACGGGGGAACTGTAGCGAGATACGGGCGGGGCAGGAAGCTGGGATGGCGCTAGAGACGTGGATCCGACAAACAGTGGCGGGTAAGGGCTGGGGGGGATAAGGGGAGAAGGGAAGGGGGGTTAAGGAGATCGGAGGAAGCGGCGATCGTGGGTGTGATTGTAGCGAGATACAGCCCGTTATAGCGGAAGGGGTGAGAGCGGGGATGGTGTTATAGACATGGAGCTGACGAAAAAGTGGTAGGTAGGTGAGGGCTGGGAGGGAGGAGATTTGGGGGGGGCTGAGGGGGGGAGGGGGGTGAGAGGGGGGGGAGAAGGGGCTGACGAAAAAAATGGTAGATAGGTTAGGGCTGGGAGGGAGGAGATTTGGGGCTGGAGCCCACATTGTTTGTAGTGCTGCTTATCAGTGGGATTTACATAAGCAACACCCCTTCTGCAAGCGTCTATGCTCTGTACTCCTCTTAAAACCCACGGCCCAAATTACAAGGCGCGGCCTTCAAACGCAGTGCGTTTGAAAGTCTTGCTTTCGTGGGGGTCGGGTGGGGTAACGTGGCTCTCGTCAGTCAGGGGTGGCTTTCAAGTTCAGGGCGCCAAGCAGTTAGGGACTCCAGGTGCAGCGCGTTTTTCGGCCGTCCATTTCCATTTAGATTTCCATCTGACGGCCCTCAAAGCCAATTCGTTACTCCAGTGCACCACCAGTGATTCGCCGCGTAATCTCAACCGTCGAACTGCCTGCTGGCGAATCTGACGGTCCACGAACATTTTTCAATTTGCGAGAAGGAACACCCTCGCGATTTCTCCGTGTGTTTCGTATAACCCATTTTTGGGTGCTGCCTCCATTTTTCATATGCTCTGCACATGAACAATTTGGGCCGCGGGTTTTAAGCCATCTGTACCATTCTGTGCCGCTCTTGCCCCCCTCTGCTCCCCTCAATTCATTTATAATTTCCTCTGTACCCCTCTACACCCCGCTGTATCCCGCTGTACCGCTCTGTACTCCATTGTTTGTCCCTGGTTCAGAGGATGGTGGGTACGTCCTGGGGAAGAAGAAATCAGAGCATCAATGAGACGGACGCCAACACTGCAGACTTTGAGTAGAAATGGTAGATGCTTTTTGCACTGATTGGGCCTGAGGTTTGACAACTTATACATATGTTTATCTGTAGAAGCTATAGGCATGGCGGGACGGCGGCACTGAGGCACTGAGGCACGGCGACGTGACGGGGCCAGCGCGGCGTGACGGGGCCAGCGCGGAGTGACGGGGCCAGCGCGGGGTGACGGGGCCAGCACGGCGTGACGGGGCCAGCGTGGAGGGACGGGGCCGGCGCGGAGTGGCGGGGCCGGCGCGTTCTAGCGAGGCCGGCGTGGCGAGATGGGGCCGGGGCAGAGTGACGGGCCGGCGCCGGCGCGGCTTGACGAGGGGGGGGGGGAAGGGGGCGAGTACGCTGCGGAAGCGTGAGGAGAAGGCCAGAGCGAAAGGGGCCTGCTCTGAAACCATGTTAAGCTAAGGTAGCTAGCTAGGAAGCCATGTAATGGCATGAGGTTTAGCTAGGAGAAAGTTGAGAGAAAAGAGAGAGACTAGGAAGAGAGGTGTTGGGCTGAGAAATGCCCTTAGGATCTTTCCAGAGACTAAGTCCCAGTTGTAAAAGACTTGAGTAGTGCAGTGGAAGTTGAGGTAGTTAAACCCTTGTACTAGTATATGAGAACAAGTGATTGATTAAAGGAACAAGCATACAGCAATATATAGAAAGTAGGAAGGTAAAGCAGTTGTCGAATACAGTTGAAAGAGCGGTTATCGAGTCGCACAGCGACTCGATTGTCGCGTCGGTTACCATCTTTGCAGTTGTAACTGTCAGTTGCAACCTCCAGTTGCGACCCTTCGAGTCCTTTCGTGTTGTTTGTCCATCCCCTCGTGTAACCTCCGTTGACTCGCGTACCCGTTACGACCTTCCTCGAGTGTGGTGTTACACTTCAGAAACGCTCAAGTCCTAGAGGTATTTCCAACAAGAGGCATACAAGGAGGGAGTTGTTTGTATCCTCTACAGTAGATTTCGGTAACCTACCAAGCCTATCAATTATATAACACAATATCTAATTTAACAGTTAGGTCCGCCCACCCGCTTCCGCACTCGCCGTAGCCTAGTGCCCCGCCGTTCCCTTAGTGCGCCCCCTTCCTCAGCGCCCCGCCAGCCCTGTTAGCGCGCCCCGCTAGTCTCTCGCCCCGCTGGTCCCTTACACGCCCCGCCTGGCCCTAGCTGTCAACTTATACATACCGTATGCTGTATGTAGAAGTTATAGGCTAGCATAGGTGTGTGCTTCTAGTGAGTACAACCCCAACAGGTACATGTTCTAGGTTTCTCACACTAGTCATTCATTCTCACTTTCTAACATGGTATCATGAGTAGGTTCGGTTCCTCTCGCCCGCCCACGCTTCCGCCCTAGGCTCTAGCCGCCCTCGTGACCCGTCCCTAGCTGGCCCCCTCCCCCCTGGCCGTCCCGTCCACCCCTAGCCGGCCCCCTGGCCGTCGCGCCCGCCCCTAGCTGGCCCCCTGGCCGTCGCGTCCGCCCCTAGCCGGCCCCCTGGCCGTCGCGTCCGCCCCTAGCCGGCCCCCTGGCCGTCACGTCCGCCCCTAGCCGGCCCCTTGGCCGTCGCGTCCGCCCCTAGCTGGCCCCCTTGCCGTCGCGCCCGCCCTTAGCTAGCCCCCCTGGCCGTCGTTTCCGCCCCTAGCCGGCCCCCTGGCCGTCGCGCCCGCCCCTAGCTGGCCCCCTGGCCGTCGCGTCCGCCCCTAGCCGGCCCCCTGACCGTCGCGTCCGCCCATAGCCGGCCCCCTGGCCGTCGCGTCCGCCCCTAGCCGGTCCCCTGGCCGTCGTGTCCGCCCCTAGCCCGCCCCCTGGTCGTCGCGCTCGCCCCTAGCCAGCCCCCTGGCCGTCGCGCCCGCCCCTAGCCGGCCCCCTGGCCGTTGCGCCCGCCCCTAGCTGGCCCCCTGGCCGTTGCGTCCGCTCCTAGCCGGCCCTCAAGCCGTTCGCGCCCGCTCCTAGCCGGCCCTCTGGCCGTTCGCGCCCGGCCCTAGCCGGCCCTCTGGCCGTCGCGCCCGGCCCTAGCTGGCCCCCTGGCCGTTGTGCCCGCCCCTAGCCGGCCCCCTGGCCGTTGCGTCCGCCCCTAGCCGGCCCTCTGGCCGTTCGCGCCCGCTCCTAGCCGTCCCCTCCTAGCGCCCGCCCGGCCCCCTCTACCGCTCGCCGTGCCCCTCCACAACGCCCGCCCGGCCCCTGCTAGCGCCCGCTCGGCCTGTTGCGCCCGCCCGTCCCACACCGCCCGCCCGGCCCCACCCAGCGCCTGCCCGGCTCCTGCGGCCCGCAGCTCCCAGTGCCTGCCTGGCTCCTGCGGCTCCGTGTCTTCTGCTCGGCACGGTTCCTCAGGTCTCCGGCCTCGTGTCTTCTGCTTGCCAGCGCTGGAGCGTCCTGCAGACGTCCCCCTGGAGCTGTGCTGCTGTGTCCCTGTGCCGCTGTGTCATGTGGAGCTGTGCCGCTGTGTCCCTGTGTCGCTGACCCTGCACGATGGCTGACTTCGTACTCCGCCTGGACGCTGAGGGCCATGCGGTTGACTTCGCCGCCTGGCTGTCCGATCTCCGCCGTCAACTTACAGGTCAGCGCCAGAATGGGCACTCCTTGGTTCTCCATATTGATGGCTTGTTCCCTCGCCCCCCTGTGCTCGCTCCCCTCCCTGCTGACCCCACCTCTGCTGAGCGTGAGACTTTCTCTGCTGCTGCACTTGCCTGTGCCGTCTGGGATTCTCGCGATGCAGTTGCTCACGTCGCTATCAGTTACGCCCTCCCTGTGTCTGAGCGTTCGCGTTTTGCTATAGTTGATATAGCCAAGGCTTACTTAGAAGCTGTTGTTTCTCGCTATTCCACGCCTGCCTCCGCTACTGCAGGCCGCCTGCTCTTCCCTATGCTTTTCCCAGACCTTGCTTCCTTCCCTACTGTTGCTGACCTTGCCACTCACCTGCGCGCCCTAGAGTCTCGCTACCGCACTGCTAGCACTGCTGCCCAGCTCACTGCGCTCCCTCCCCCCTTCTGCATGACCCTCTACTTAATCGCCATGCGTCTGCCTGACCGCCTTGCTAGTGCACGCGACCACATCCTTAGCCAGCACCCGGGTGATCTCACCCTGCCAGCCTTTGTTACCGCCCTGACCGCAATCGAGACTCGCCAGCGCACTATCGCTCAATCGAGCGGTGCGCCGGCAGTCTCTATCTTTCACGGCTGTGCCCCCTCCCAGTGCACGTTTACTGACGTCTCGGCTGCGGTCGCCACTGCGACCCCTCTGACCAAGACTGCAGCTGCGGTACACCCGTAGCAGCGCTCGCGCTGCGCCGGTCGTGGCCGCCAGGGAGGGCGTGGTGATGGAGCTGGTTGTAGTAGTGGTGGTACCGGGGACAGTGGTTCTACTGAGGGGACTGCCTCAGCTAGTCAAGAGCAGCAGCCGTCGCCCCAGCAGCAGGAGCAGCCGCAGCAGCCGTCGCAGCAGCCGCAGTCGTCGCAGCAGCTGTCCTAGCCCCAGCCGTGGGCTCGCCTCACCCCGGGTTGGCCCGGCACCTCCGTAGGTGGTGGCCGTGGCGGTGGCCCGCGCAGCTTGGCGTCTACCGGCAGCTCCGTTGGTGTGACGTGCCAGTACCAGCTTCAGACCGGGCCTCTCCGCGGCACTCTGTGCCGCCGCCCGCACCCGACCGCCCACTATTTCCGCCGCCTCGACGATCTCTTTCGTCGTCGCTTTGGCCCGGCCCCGGACCTCCCCGACTGGCACAGCCTGCTTCGCCAGGGCGTGCCGATCTTTGATTTAGATATGGATCAGATAGGTGCTGCTTTGCATGCCTTGTATGCTGAGGCTTCTAGTGTTGCTGGATCTTATTACCCTGTGTACTCTAGTTTAGGCGTAGCACCCTTGTGTAGCTTAGCCTCCCCTGCTGCGTCAGGCGTAGGACTGCCTAGTTTGCCTAGCCTAGTTTCTGCACCAGCTCCGTTCCCGGCCTCCGCTACTGCCTCGCTGTCCTTCACTCTCGACTCCGATGCTTCTGCCTGTTTCTTCCGCGACCGCTCCACGCTCACGCCGCTTGCTGCGCCTGCTGTTCTCGCTCTCGCCGACCCCTCCACGGGTCCTGTCGTCGCTCGCAGCTCCACTTCCCTTCCCTGTCCAGCCGTTCCCTTCGGGCTCTCTTACAGGCCTCCACGTTCCCTCGTTCTCCAGGAACCTGGTTGGTGTCGGCCGTCTTCAGGACCTCCGCGTCACCACTACGTTCCCTGGGCACGAGTGGTTCGCTGACTGTACCGAGGCAGTCTCAGGTTCCCCCCTTGCGACGTTCCCCCGGGACCCGGTGTCTGGTCTGTTTACCCTCGACACTGCTTCCCCCCCGGTCGGTGCATCCTCCCAGGTCGCTGCAGCTTGCTCGTGTCGGACCCTCACACACCCGTCCCTTCTGTGGCACCACCGCTTAGGTCACTATGCTCTCCTGCTCGTGCGTCACATGTCTCAGCACGGTCTTGTCTTAGGCCTCCCCGAGTCACTCCTCGCACTTCCCCCCTCGACTGCGCCACCGTGCACGCCTTGCGTCGAGGGCTGGCTCCGCCGTGCCCCTCACTCCTCCTCGTTTTGCCCTACAACTGCTCCCCTTCAGACCCTGCACCTGGACGTTTGGTGCCCAGCCCCCGTCCCCGGACCGCGCGGTGAGCGCTACTTTCTTGTGCTCGTCGATGACTACATGCGCTACACCACGGTGTTTCCTATGGAGCGGAAGGCCGACGTGCCCGACGTTCTTCTCCCGTGGGTTGTGGCTGCGCATCTTCACCGCGGTCTCCCCGTGTTGTGTGTCCACTCTGACCGTGACGGCGAGTTCGCCTCTGGTCGGCTTGGACAGTTCTGTCGTGCGGAGGGCATCACCCAGTCGTACACCTTGCCGGACTCGCCACAGCAGAATGGGGTTGCTAAGCGCCGCATCGGCTTGGTCATGGAGGTTGCTCGTACCTCCATGATTCATGCCGATGCCCCCCATTTTCTGTGGCCGTTCGCTGTCCGCTACGCTGCTCACCAGCTTAACCTGTGGCCATGCTCCCAGCGGCCGCGGGTTTCGCCGACCCTCCTTTGGACCGGGTCCCCCGGTGACGCGTCTGCGTTCCACGTCTGGGGTTGCCTTGCTCACGTTCGTGCCTCTGGCACGGACAAGCTCACTGCCCGCACTGTCCCCTGTGTCTTCCTAGGTTTCCCCCTGGACTCGTCTGAGTGGCTATTCTACCACCCGCAGTCTCACCGCTTCCTTCACTCTCGTGACGCCACCTTTGACGAGTCTGTCTCCTTCTACCGTCGCTTCCCTCACCGAGGTCTCCCGGTTCCCCCCCCCTTGTTCCTAGCTCCCTCTCTCCCGGTAGCCCCTGCTCCCCTCCCGCCTCGTCCTGCCCTGTCTGGTGTCTCCCATGTCTCTCCCCTCCCGTCAGTTGTCCCCATTGAGGAGTCTGCTGACTCTGGTGGTCCCCCCGGCCCGTCCTTGCCACGTCCCCCTTCCCCGGTGTCTCCGCCTCCGCTGTCGCAGCCGCCGCCGTCGCAGCCGCCGCTGCCGCCGCTGCCACTCTTGGCCTCTTGGGGTGCTGGCGTTGAGGAGGGTGTTCGTCCTGCGGCCCCTGGCGTGGTCTCTCCCGGCGGGCCTGGGGGTGCCGCCGGTGCTG